GCTCCATACAGCCCCCTGCGTGCCTTTAAGGTAGGTGTGGCCATGGAATGGGCCTGATCACGGCCTGTACCGGTTAACCGGTTGCCAGCGTGATCAGCGTGATCAGCGTGATCAGCCCCTCACGGGGCCTCGCACAGCCGTTAACTAGTGCCCGAGCAGTGTGATCTTGCGTGTAGATGCTCCATACAGCCCCCTGCGTGTCTTTAAGGTAGGTGTGGCCATGGAATGGGCCCGATCACGGCCTGTACCGGTTAACCGGTTGCCAGCGTGATCAGCGTGATCAGCCCCTCACGGGGCCTCGCACAGCCGTTAACTAGTGCCCGGGCAGTGTGATCTTGCGTGTAGATGCTCCATACAGCCCCCTGCGTGCCTTTGAGGTAGGTGTGGCCACGGAGTGGGCCTGATCACGGCCTGTACCGGTTAACCGGTTGCCAGCGTGATCAGTGTGATCAGCCCCTCACAGGGCCTCGCACAGCCGTTAACTAGTGCCCGGGCAGTGTGATCTTGCGTGTAGATGCTCCATACAGCCCCCTGCGTGCCTTTTAGGTAGGTGTGGCCATGGAATGGGCCTGATCACGGCCTGTACCGGTTAACCGGTTGCCAGCGTGATCAGCGTGATCAGCCCCTCACGGGGCCTCGCACAGCCGTTAACTAGTGCCCGGGCAGTGTGATCTTGCGTGTAGATGCTCCATACAGGCCCCTGCGTGCCTTTAAGGTAGGTGTGGCCATGGAATGGGCCTGATCACGGCCTGTACCGGTTAACCGGTTGCCAGCGTGATCAGCGTGATCAGCGTGATCAGCCCCTCACGGGGCCTCGCACAGCCGTTAACTAGTGCCCGAGCAGTGTGATCTTGCGTGTAGATGCTCCATACAGCCCCCTGCGTGTCTTTAAGGTAGGTGTGGCCATGGAATGGGCCCGATCACGGCCTGTACCGGTTAACCGGTTGCCAGCGTGATCAGCGTGATCAGCCCCTCACGGGGCCTCGCACAGCCGTTAACTAGTGCCCGGGCAGTGTGATCTTGCGTGTAGATGCTCCATACAGCCCCCTGCGTGCCTTTGAGGTAGGTGTGGCCACGGAGTGGGCCTGATCACGGCCTGTACCGGTTAACCGGTTGCCAGCGTGATCAGTGTGATCAGCCCCTCACAGGGCCTCGCACAGCCGTTAACTAGTGCCCGGGCAGTGTGATCTTGCGTGTAGATGCTCCATACAGCCCCCTGCGTGCCTTTTAGGTAGGTGTGGCCATGGAATGGGCCTGATCACGGCCTGTACCGGTTAACCGGTTGCCAGCGTGATCAGCGTGATCAGCCCCTCACGGGGCCTCGCACAGCCGTTAACTAGTGCCCGGGCAGTGTGATCTTGCGTGTAGATGCTCCATACAGGCCCCTGCGTGCCTTTAAGGTAGGTGTGGCCATGGAATGGGCCTGATCACGGCCTGTACCGGTTAACCGGTTGCCAGCGTGATCAGCGTGATCAGCCCCTCACGGGGCCTCGCACAGCCGTTAACTAGTGCCCGGGCAGTGTGATCTTGCGTGTAGATGCTCCATACAGCCCCCTGCGTGCCTTTGAGGTAGGTGTGGCCATGGAATGGGCCCGATCACGGCCTGTACCGGTTAACCGGTTGCCAGCGTGATCAGCGTGATCAGCCCCTCACGGGGCCTCGCACAGCCGTTAACTAGTGCCCGGGCAGTGTGATCTTGCGTTTAGATGCTCCATACAGCCCCCTGCGTGCCTTTGAGGTAGGTGTGGCCATGGAGTGGGCCTGATCACGGCCTGTACCGGTTAACCGGTTGCCAGCGTGATCAGCGTGATCAGCCCCTCACGGGGCCTCGCACAGCCGTTAACTAGTGCCCGGGCAGTGTGATCTTGCGTGTAGATGCTCCATACAGCCCCCTGCGTGCCTTTAAGGTAGGTGTGGCCATGGAATGGGCCTGATCACGGCCTGTACCGGTTAACCGGTTGCCAGCGTGATCAGCGTGATCAGCGTGATCAGCCCCTCACGGGGCCTCGCACAGCCGTTAACTAGTGCCCGAGCAGTGTGATCTTGCGTGTAGATGCTCCATACAGCCCCCTGCGTGTCTTTAAGGTAGGTGTGGCCATGGAATGGGCCCGATCACGGCCTGTACCGGTTAACCGGTTGCCAGCGTGATCAGCGTGATCAGCCCCTCACGGGGCCTCGCACAGCCGTTAACTTTTGCCCGGGCAGTGTGATCTTGCGTGTAGATGCTCCATACAGCCCCCTGCGTGTCTTTAAGGTAGGTGTGGCCATGGAATGGGCCCGATCACGGCCTGTACCGGTTAACCGGTTGCCAGCGTGATCAGCGTGATCAGCCCCTCACGGGGCCTCGCACAGCCGTTAACTAGTGCCCGGGCAGTGTGATCTTGCGTGTAGATGCTCCATACAGGCCCCTGCGTGCCTTTAAGGTAGGTGTGGCCATGGAATGGGCCTGATCACGGCCTGTACCGGTTAACCGGTTGCCAGCGTGATCAGCGTGATCAGCCCCTCACGGGGCCTCGCACAGCCGTTAACTAGTGCCCGGGCAGTGTGATCTTGCGTGTAGATGCTCCATACAGCCCCCTGCGTGCCTTTAAGGTAGGTGTGGCCATGGAATGGGCCTGATCACGGCCTGTACCGGTTAACCGGTTGCCAGCGTGATCAGCGTGATCAGCCCCTCACGGGGCCTCGCACAGCCGTTAACTATTGCCCGGGCAGTGTGATCTTGCGTGTAGATGCTCCATACAGCCCTTGCGTGCCTTTGAGGTAGGTGTGGCCATGGAATGGGCCTGATCACGGCCTGTACCGGTTAACCGGTTACCAGCGTGATCAGCGTGATCAGCGTGATCAGCCCCTCACGGGGCCTCGCACAGCCGTTAACTAGTGCCCGGGCAGTGTGATCTTGCGTGTAGATGCTCCATACAGCCCCCTGCGTGCCTTTAAGGTAGGTGTGGCCATGGAATGGGCCCGATCACGGCCTGTACCGGTTAACCGGTTGCCAGCGTGATCAGCATGATCAGCGTGATCAGCCCCTCACGGGGCCTCGCACAGCCGTTAACTAGTGCCCGGGCAGTGTGATCTTGCGTGTAGATGCTCCATACAGCCCCCTGCGTGCCTTTAAGGTAGGTGTGGCCATGGAGTGGGCCTGATCACGGCCTGTACCGGTTAACCGGTTGCCAGCGTGATCAGCGTGATCAGCCCCTCACGGGGCCTCGCACAGCCGTTAACTAGTGCCCGGGCAGTGTGATCTTGCGTGTAGATGCTCCATACAGCCCCCTGCGTGCCTTTAAGGTAGGTGTGGCCATGGAATGGGCCCGATCACGGCCTGTACCGGTTAACCGGTTGCCAGCGTGATCAGCGTGATCAGCCCCTCACGGGGCCTCGCACAGCCGTTAACTAGTGCCCGGGCAGTGTGATCTTGCGTGTAGATGCTCCATACAGGCCCCTGCGTGCCTTTAAGGTAGGTGTGGCCATGGAATGGGCCTGATCACGGCCTGTACCGGTTAACCGGTTGCCAGCGTGATCAGCGTGATCAGCCCCTCACGGGGCCTCGCACAGCCGTTAACTAGTGCCCGGGCAGTGTGATCTTGCGTGTAGATGCTCCATACAGGCCCCTGCGTGCCTTTAAGGTAGGTGTGGCCATGGAATGGGCCTGATCACGGCCTGTACCGGTTAACCGGTTACCAGCGTGATCAGCGTGATCAGCGTGATCAGCCCCTCACGGGGCCTCGCACAGCCGTTAACTAGTGCCCGGGCAGTGTGATCTTGCGTGTAGATGCTCCATACAGCCCCCTGCGTGCCTTTAAGGTAGGTGTGGCCATGGAATGGGCCCGATCACGGCCTGTACCGGTTAACCGGTTGCCAGCGTGATCAGCATGATCAGCGTGATCAGCCCCTCACGGGGCCTCGCACAGCCGTTAACTAGTGCCCGGGCAGTGTGATCTTGCGTGTAGATGCTCCATACAGCCCCCTGCGTGCCTTTAAGGTAGGTGTGGCCATGGAGTGGGCCTGATCACGGCCTGTACCGGTTAACCGGTTGCCAGCGTGATCAGCGTGATCAGCCCCTCACGGGGCCTCGCACAGCCGTTAACTAGTGCCCGGGCAGTGTCATCTTGCGTGTAGATGCTCCATACAGACCCCTACGTGCCTTAAGGTAGGTGTGGCCATGGAGTGGGCCCGATCACGGCCTGTACCGGTTAACCGGTTGCCAGCGTGATCAGCGTGATCAGCCCCTCACGGGGCCTCGCACAGCCGTTAACTAGTGCCCGGGCAGTGTGATCTTGCGTGTAGATGCTCCATACAGACCCCTACGTGCCTTTGAGGTAGGTGTGGCCATGGAGTGGGCCTGATCACGGCCTGTACCGGTTAACCGGTTGCCAGCGTGATCAGCGTGATCAGCCCCTCACGGGGCCTCGCACAGCCGTTAACTAGTGCCCGGGCAGTGTGATCTTGCGTGTAGATGCTCCATACAGCCCCCTGCGTGCCTTTTAGGTAGGTGTGGCCATGGAATGGGCCTGATCACGGCCTGTACCGGTTAACCGGTTGCCAGCGTGATCAGCGTGATCAGCCCCTCACGGGACCACACATGCAGGTTAACCAGTGCCTGGGCAGCGTGCGCTTGCGTGTAGAGGCATGCTACAGCCCCCTGCGTGCCTTTGAGGTAGGTGTGGCCATGGAATGTTTTGTCCATAGGTAGGCCGCGCCGCTGTAGTTGCTTCTGATACTTTATGTTGTGCTCTATTGAAGCCTGCTTTTAGAGTTGCATTTTGACACCTTTTGTGACGGACACAGGTGGTTGAGGTCCTTATCCTCTTTCTTCTTGTGTGCGCTTTCTCCTTTGCACTTCACACCTTCAGCTCGTAGGTCCTGCACCACACTATTGCTTTCTGCCGTCTGCGCGCTCCTTCCGGCTTTTTCCATGTATTTCACATTATACCGTTGGCGGTTATGCCCCTGGAACGCTGTTCTACTTAGCGGCTTAACGATTGTTCAAGCGTCGAGAGCGTGAGCCGTCTAAAGTGTCGAGGGCATGGGCCTACTGTTCCGGCAGGGCACTTTCGCAGCTGGGCAATTCACTAAAACCCCTCGCCTGGAAGGCACGACACGACAAGCCAGCCAACCATTCCCAATAACGGCAAGAATCCTGTTCGTAAGATGCCCTCGCTCCCAAGGGCCGCGGGTTCTCTATCAAGCACAGCGGTGCCAGTATGAAAACCAACGGTCAGGTACAAGTTCGAACGTTCAAACGCGGACACAACAAATAGACGAAGCAACAACAGCAACGAGCCCCAAGAGCTCCATTCCGTACCACACCGGTACAGCACAACACAACACTGACTGCACACATGTGGCACTTGGTACAACAGTACGAGTGTACGGGGGTCATACCGCCCGCCCGCATCACCTGGGCATCTTATTACCCCACGCCCTCGTTTCTCCGCCCCGCACATTTGCCACGTACCGGTATTTTCCGCACGCGCCAGACCTGCCTTCTCATTCTCACCTTGTTGTGGCCCTCCGCCTTGCCCCGGGCCGCCTCACCCCCATGCCGAGGATGCTGGCACAAGGTTACAACAACAGCACAGCCAGAGCCACAGCAGTTCTCCCTGGTGTTGCCACGATCCCAGACGGACCCAAGACGAGATACGTTCACGCCTACAGTTCAGCGCATGCCGCACACAGTGATGCTCAGCAGCCCTGCTCCATCCGTAACGCCTCAAAGCGTCGTGTTGTCTCATGCATACATCCTAGCAAACGCCAACCACAACACACCTAAACACACCATCCAGAACCAATGACATGACGGTTTAAACGCAAGCACGCCACAGTTCCGACCACCTCCGTGCACCTTTCAGCGACAGAGCTGAGCTAGCGTTGAAGCAGAACAATCCGAGGCTGTGCAGCCATCACAGTCAACCCCAGCGATAACAAACGACGTGAACCAAGGTTCTCGCTGTGCATTAGTGCATGCGCACCCTGTGATGTGCTAAAAAACGCAGGCACTAAAAACCATCGCTGAGTATGCAGGAAAGTGGACACAGGCTTCGAGGGTCAATGATGGCACGCAAGTTCCATGCAAGTGCCGAACGGATATGTGGTCTGCAATCCGGCCGGGTGGGTCAGCAGCAAGCTGCCGCAATCCAAGCCCCCGCAGATAACATTCGGTACGCTTCGAAAGCGTTTCGCGCGCCGCAAAGCACGTGCAGGCCTCAGCTGGCAACACTACCTCCTGATGCTGCTGCCGACCGCTATCGATCGGTGGTCCCCACCTACCGGTGGTGCCGCGGAGCTTTAACACACTCTCATGTTGCAGCGAACAAGTTTGAATAAAGAGACATGCCTCGTGGCCCAACGACGCCTCGGACTAATAATGCAGATGGCAACGATTGCAACAAGGAAGCCAACGATACGGCAGCCAACCAACCGCGAACCATCAAACCAACCCAACCAATCAACCAACCACCGCATGCACCCACGGCGGCGGGAGTAGTACAGTTTCCGCAAAATGTCAGGTTGCCAGCATCAGCCGTTCGCAACGACCTTCCGTTTCTCCCAGGCGGGAGTTAACAACAGCACAACCATACACAGAATGGTCGCATCGGAGTGATAGCAGGTAGGGCACATTACCGTACATGCTGCGCGCTAAACAATACAAACAGAGGGCAGTCAACATACAGAGGGTGCTGGTCCCAAAACACCGCCCCGCGTAATCGCCTAAAACACATACCGGTGACAAGGTACCGTATCGCGGCTGTAGCTGTTACCGTCTGTAACATGTACTCACATGTCCAACAAACAGCACCGCATCGCGGTGCATTTGGCCGCCTGGAACGCAAAACACAGGTTAGGGTCAGTAATCGATCGTATGCTTCATTGGTCGTACAACCAAGCGTTAGCCTAAAAACGAAGGAACGTTGTTCAATGGCGGTTTTGGTCCAGCCTACCGGTAATAAAACCCCAGAAAAAGATACAGGCACTGGGGTAAACACGATGAGTTAACAAACAAGGACACTTCAGCGAGGCAATATGTTGCACAATAAAGCAAGCAATCGCGAGGATGAAGCAAGCCGGCGAGGAACCTTTCACAGACATTGGAAGCGGCCAGCAGGCGTGAATCTGGGCAGGATTCAATGTTCACGATGCTATCAGTGTCGCTCCAGTGCGGTCTCGCGCCGCATGCATCCGAAGAACACAAGCTTGGATCCCTAAAGGATCTCGGACGGTGTAGAAGATTGGGAACACGTGCCAAAAAGCCGTCATGTACAGTCGACGAATACCAAGCTTCCCTAGAGCCTCACACGACCCTTATCACCCAGCGTTTCGAAATGCACTAATACCACACTGCGCGAGCACCTTTAATCCAGGTTTGCGTTTAGCGCTTGTCCATGAGTCGTCATCTCGTCAAGGGCTCGTCCAAAATCTTCACGCAGCCAACAACGTTTTACAGCATAAATCCTAGTCACCATGCCAAACCCATATCTCGTCCACCCATGCCGACACACAACAAGGACGATGGCAAGACAAACAAGGCCTCGATAGACAATCCGCTCGCCTGCTCAGCGCGCAGCAGGCGACGGCAGCTGCCCTTGCGACCGTGTCGGCCCCAGCGGCAGCACACGCGAGTAACCTCCCGGCAGAGCCGCGGACGCCGCCGCCGCAGCAGCCTGCGCCGCCTCCCCCGTCGCACCGCTGCCGCTTGGTCCCGACGGACGCACCCGGGCAGGTGAGCCCGTCGGTGAGTTGGCGAAGATGGAGATCCCAGTTGCGCCCGCAGCCAGGATTCCCGCAGCGCCGGCAGGCGAGCCGGACGCCATCAGAAGCTGCGTCTGCGATTGCAACCGCCGTACAGCCAGCGGCGAGCCGCCTGACGGAGGCGAACCAACCGCCGCTGACGTCAGCGCTGACGTCGGTGCCAGGTTGCTGGCCCGGCGCATGCGGTTGGGCGGCGTGTCCAGCGACACGGCAGCAGCTCCGCCGGCAGCCATCGCGGGTACGAAGGGTGATAGCGCGGGTGAAGCGGTTACAGATGGGGAACCGCTACCAATACCGTTACCGCCAGCGCCGCCGCCTGCGGCGGCGGCGGCAGCGGCGGCTCCGCCGCCGCTTCCAGTGCCTTGTACGGCGCTCGACGAGCCCTGGGACGGCAACAGCGGCAGCATCCCAGAGCTCTGCGGCCCCTGGCTAGTTGAGACTGAGAGGGCGCGCGGGCTGAGGCTGGGTGGTGGTAAAGCGCGGTTACCGCCGCAGCTGCTTCGGCGCATTGCCATGGGAGACATGGGCCGCATAGGCCCACCGCTGCTGCCGCCGGCGGCGGCGACGGCGACGGCAATGTCGATTGCGGCGCCGCCGGCCGAACCGTTGTTGCTGTTGATGTTGCTGGAGGGAGCTGGCGGCGGCAGGCCCATGCCGAGGAAGGAGTTGCGGCGGCGAACGTCAGGACTTGCATCGAAAGCCACCTGCGCTGCGAGGGCCGGCTGCGCATGGCTGCCCACCCCACCCGTCGGCGTCACCACCGGCGTCGGTACACACGTCGCGGGTAGGGAAGCAGCCGATCCCAGCATACCGGTACAACCGCCGCCGGCATCCAACGCCAGCGGCGACGACGGCGCCACCGCCGCCACACCACCCATGACGCCCTTATCCAATCCACCCGAGGACTGCCGTACAAACGGCAGAATAACAGCTCGAGCCGACAGGGGAGGATGCGCTTGCAGCAGCTCCGCGCCGCAATCCGAGCCCCTCCGAAACCGCATGGGAGACGGATAGCTCATGGGGCTCCCCACCCCGCCCGGCGCGCCGCCAAGCGAGGCGAACGCTGGTCCAGCAGACGCCACCAGCGGCACGCCGCTGGTAAAGCTGCCACTGCTGCCACCGACTACGTACTCCACGGATAACCGGCGGCTGCGGCCGCGCGGCGGGCATGGTGGCGTGCCTCGAAGCGCACTCCCCGGTGCTGCGGCCTGCATGCCGGCTTGCAGGGCTGACGCGCTGAGACGCACTGCATCGGGTCCCAGGCCGGATGTCGAAAAGGGGATGGGAAGTCGTGGTGGGCTTGCTGAGAGGGAGCCGCTAGCAGAGCGGCGAGGAGCGGCGGATGCGATTCGCTGGGTGGTGGAGGAGACGGAGGCGGAGGGAGGCGGCTGAGAGCGACGCAGCCCGGTACCTGCGAGACCGCCTCCTGCTACTGGCTGCTGCTGCTGCTGCTGCTGCATGAGCAGAAGGGTTGGATCGACCAGGTCGGCACAGCTACTGCTGCTCGTCTGGCCCGCTGAACCCTGCTGCTGCTGCTGCTGCGGTTGCTGTTGTTGTTGCTGGTTTGGCAGTTGGTACGACATGACGGAGGGTTGCAGCGGGTTGCTGCTGCCGGACTGTCGCCCGCCCACCGCGCTGCCAAGACGCAGCTGCTGCGGTGGCGACAGCGGAGCAGCAACAGTGACGCGGCCGGGCTGTGAAAGCCTCCGAGCGGACTCCGCACGCTGCGTCAGTTCTGTTGATGAAGTTGCCGCCACCGCCACCGCCGCCTCGCCGCCTTCCCGAGCAGCCTCGCAGCTGTCGCCACCACCGTATCCTCCGTCGCCGGCGCCAGCATCGGCACCCGCGGCGGCGGCAGCACCGCCCACCAAATGCGCCGCTACCTTTGCTGCGCGACGCGGCAGTTGCGCCGCCAGCTGTGAAGCATTGATGATATCTTCAATCTGCTGACTCCGCATGCCGCTGTCTAGCAGCACCTGAATGGGGTCCAAACCCATCGCTTGGCAACGCGACCACAGCGCAGGCGGGATGGTAGGCGGCGGCGGCGGAGCCGCTGAAAGGGCGCTTGGTCCCAGCCCCCGCGCCGCCGCCAGCCGCAAGCGAGTACGGTCATAATCCTGCTGCGCATGTACGGCAAGCAAGCAATCGCGCGCCGCCAGCCGCAGCTGCCGCCGTACTTCCGCACGCTCCCGAGCCAGCGCCTCCGCCGCGGCGCGTCTTGCACGTTCGTCGGCCTCCGCGGCCTGCTGCAGAGCCGCCTGCCTCCGTGCACGCCAGCCGCGGCAGTAGGACTGGATGATAACGGCAGCCAGGGAGCGAAGGGCATCTGGGTCGGCTTCCTGGGCTGCCAGGCGAGCGACTCGGGTGAAGCGGTTGGCGCCGCTGTTGGGGTCGTTGCTGTCAAAGATGCCGGCGGCATAGCGGGGCTGTGTGGATCAGGAAAAAGAGATGGCAAAGCGTTCAGGAGGAAGGGAGGATGAAAGAGCAGGGAGGAAAGCTTGTCAGGATGCTGCGGTTGAGTCATTCCGGCAGCAGCAGCAGCCTGCAAGTGGAGGCCTCTTCGTCCATCCGCATCCTCCCTTTGCTTTGCAAATTGTAGTGTCCCTATCGCCGGCAACTTTTCAACTGATACAATTTTCCGCCTTACCTGCCACTTCTGGCTTGGAAGCCGGCCCGAGCGGTTCTGCACCGCTAGAGCACTGGAGGCTGAGTACAGGAGTCCAGAGCCGTCTCCTCCGTCGTAAGCACAACGGTCGCGGTTGTACATCCACATGTGGTGGTTGGCCAACGGTTCAAGTGCGTCCTGCGGAGTTGAGCTATCACCTGCTGAGGCGTCCAGCTCAGGCTGCAGCAGCGTTTCGGGACAGCTGAGGCGCCGAGCCAAGGGTGGTGGGCCACTCGGAGGCCGGGGCATGAGGGCGGCCGCTCCTATGGCGGCACCTGGGAGGGGTTGTACAAGGGTGGCAGCGAAACAGTGCAGCGGTAAAAGCGCGATAGTGGCACATGGGCATGAGAGGACGACGAGGTTGTTTGTCAAGCGAAACGGCACGGTTCAGGAGGCGCGGCAGACTGGCGGGATAGTTTGATGGCCATGCAGTCATGGAGGTCGTGGGTTTACCTCGGGCTAGGGCGTCTAGGACTTACCGGGCCCTCCCGCGCTTCCAAAAGTAAATTCGTTCTGCGCTTCGTCTGCCTTCTGCATCCACGCCTGTATTAAGTCGCTTTCCAGCAAATCCCGTCCGCTCAGAGGGCAACCGCTGTTCGGCACGTTGCCGGCGTCAGCGTCCGCGGCCGCGAGCTGCTGTTGATTACTGGGGCTCAGCGTAGGCGCCCCCGAATCGTAAGGCCCGATTCCTTCCAACTGGATTCCAGGTGGTCGAGGCGAGGGGCTCCGATGGCCCAAACTCGAGTTGGCCGGGACGTCTGCTGCATCACCCTGTCCGTCGTTCGACATGCTAGTGCGCCTCAAATGGCTTCTTACGACTTCCTATGATACAGAACGACGAGGAGAGGGAAGGAATCCAGTTTCACAACCACGAAACAGTGTCATTTGGGATTTGTAGTGCAAAATAAGCTCATGCTGCAGGTGTAAATAGCACTACCAAGGTCTGAGCCTTCGTTCGCGTCTCTTGGCATAACCACATGGCAACACAAAACAACCCAACGTACTAATCCGCATCAATGCCTAACATACTTACAGTTGCTCTTTCGGCAGTAAGGGGAACGTGGCACGACTTGACTTCGACAGGTGGTGGGATAAAGGTCGGCACGTTACAGGATTCACTCCACGGGTCTTGAGCAACACGTGTTAGTCCCATCCACTATCGACAGACAAGTATACTGAAATCCGTTTAATAGTTTGGCCAGTCCGCAGGGTGGGCGGCACTGCTTCAGTGATAAACTCGACAACTATTCCGGAAACAATTAAGAATTCAACTGCAGCTTGACATTGCGTGGTACCGTATTAATCAAGTAGCTATGGATGACAGGGTGAAGTCGAACCCGTCCGTATCTAACCGACGGCAACGCGTCCTGAACGTGCCGAGAAACCGATTGTACGATGGAACTCCTGAACAGTCCGTAAAGTACGTTGTTACCGCATGCCATTATATTCCGCTGCTAGAGAGAAGGAAATGCCGTGCCAATACGGGGCAATACCACGTGGTTACAAGGTAGGAAGTACGGCCGCTGAACCACCTGACCTCTGCAGTCTGCGCTCCTATAATCCTTGTAACACTCCGCATTCTAAACTGAAGCCACATGGTAAAACAGCGTGGCTATACCCCACAATTAGGGGATAGTGCTGAACACCCCAGAGTTGGCCTCACCCTCTCATGTCCAGGTTCCAACCGGGCTTTCTCCGTCAGTCAGGACACTCACACGTTAAACACTGCCCATGATGTTATACGCTGCTCCGCATGCCAAGTGCAACTGGCGGCTCCAGGAGGTTGCACATACGGTGAAACACCGTAGACCCTCCCTACCCCACACCACCCATCACTTTAGGCGTCATCGTCATCGTCGTCCCCGTCAGCAAAGTAGTTCTGCGGGCAGAGCGAGCGAGTGCGCTTGTTAGCTGGAAGTAATAAAGGAGAGATGGCCAAAAGGACAGAGATGGCGTATCCTGAAGCTGGGAGGGCACCTTGTGCTGCCTAGTTGCTAGGCAGTAAAGTGCCATGGCGCTATCCACCCAGATGCATACATCCTGAGGTGGCATACCCATTAACCCAAATGCATGTCTTTCTGACGGGAAAGCTTGGTTAAGCCATTCATGGGGACATGGACCAACACAAGACACGTGTTGCCAAACACAACCATAGAGACGTACCTTCTTCTTTTTACCGTCAGCCATGTCGACGTAGAAGACGTCGTCCTTGGTGATGTTCTTGTAGTTTTTGAGCAGGAGCTCGGGGATCTGGTGCAGGAAGTCGCCCTGCATCTCAATTTGCTCGCCACCGGATGCCGTCTTAACGACTGACGCGCCGCACGCAAACTTCTTGCCGAAAAGCTTTCCAGCCTCCGACAGCTTCACGCCAAACAGTTCCAGACCCGCCACCGTGGTCGTGCTCTTGTTCTTTTGGCGTTGCGCGACGCTGAGCAACACCTGCGGCTTGGTCTTCTTCTTCACCTTGCCACCGGGCAGCTTCTCGACATCAGCGCCGCTCTTGTCTTTTAGCGTCAGCTTCTCGAGCGCCTCCCCGCCTTCTTGCGCCGACTTCCATTTTTTATACTCTGGGCAGTCTGGTGGCAAGAACTCATTAAATTCTGAAGGTACCCCAGTGATTGGGTCATACTCGACTACTCTCGGTGCAACCGGTGTAGGCGCGCCCGATGTGCTTGCTACCTCGCCTCCGTCGGCCATTTCAGCAGCAATTGATTAATTCAACAACTACTACGTTTAGATGTAACGTGATCAGTAATAAAATGAACGTGTAGCTTTAAAGGAACTTGTCCTGAGCGTGGAATGGCTCCAGTCGAACTCCAACCGTGAGTTTCTTGAACGTGCGTGCGCGAACCGTTATGCTTCGTTGTTTCCCTGTACAGCACTATGCGCTGCCAAGCACTTGGAGTCACTGCATCGTCGTACGTACTATGACCGACTCTGCTTGCCGTACGCCGCACGAGGGCGAATTGCGGACCAAACCACTCTGCCGCAGATTGCCATGTACAGCTGACGTGGGCACCTATCAGTCTGGGCAAACGAATTCTTAACAAAGGGCTAACGGCTTTGGGTTATAGTGCTGCGGGGCGCCTGTGATTCAGCTGCTGGGCGTCTGCACATACCGGTATGCGGTGCCGGTAAACAAGGTTGGCGACACTTGGAATAGTGCTGCCCCAACCGCCCTTTCGTGGAATTACAATGCACTGTATGCCATCTGTGCAGCATTTGCCAGCATCAGCCTAAGCATACGTCTGACGGTTCCAAGGGGCACACAAGCTGATAACGGCACGCCGGCACCCTCCTTGGATCACAGCTGGCTCTGCAAAAGCAACCCAGGCGAAAGCAAAGTCATGAAAACCAAGTCTTGCATGACAGGGCGTTCAGGTGTACCCCGTACAGCACAGCCCCCGCCATCGAAAGCAAGCCCATGCACGATGCTCACGCCAGCAACTGAAGTCTTGCCATACAATACCCACACATACGGTGTGTCACACAGGTATGGCAAAGACGTTCCCGCGTGTCATAGCAATATCTGGTGCACTACCTTATTCCTTGTGCACGACAACAACCGAATGTACGACGACAACAGCAACCAACGCGTTGTCAGCAGTACCGGGAATGCCTGCTCACTAGGAGACCCCCATGAGTCATCAAAACAAACATTGATAATACATGAATGTTGCCATCATGAAGCCGACCGGCCCCGATGCTGTTAAGACAGCAAAGACAGCACAGATGCAATGCCATTGGATGTCACCTAGGCAGCAAGATCACAGAGTACGGTAGTCACCAGGAGTTGCAGTCCTTCTCTGTCCTCTTCGCCATGCTGCTCTAGGGTCCTACCTCGTCGCTTCCTTTCCCCCACCTAGCATCACATTTTGGACCTCCGGCTTAGGGTTTCATGGCTTCGTGGCTGTCCAATTCCGCTTTCCGGCGCAGCACGCGCCTTCGTTCCATGCCTTCCAGGAATAGCCAACACAAACCCATCAAAAAGATCCAAATCCAACCTAGCCTCCCTACCTCTACTCCTTAATGCCAAAACACAAGCTTCCTACCTACATACCATTTGCCAACGCAGCTAGCTGCAACTCAAGGATGCGCCTATGCAAGAAAGATGCTGAAGAAGGTCCTAACACGACAAAATATGCGGATTAATGCTATTCCGCAAAGTCGCCATTAAGCCTAGGCCGCTGCCACGGCCGCCCATCGTCGCCCTCCTCATTGCCCCCGGCGCCTACCGCCGCAGCTGCCTCAGCCGCATCACACCCCGCAGCCCCTCCGCCCTCCAACTCCTCTCGCCGCCGCCGGCGTTGCACCTCCTCGCCAACCCTGCTGTCACCTCTCGCAAATGCATCGGTCATGCGGCCGCCCAGACCTCCATCTCCACCCAGCACACCCGGGTGACTTATGGGTCCCAGCGGCTGCTGCTGCTGTTGCGACGGCGCCTCGTACGGCTCCTGTTTGACCATCACGGCACCCCAGCTGCCGTACCCGCAATCGACCACCGCTGCCCCCGAGGGCTGTCGTTGATGCTGCTGCTGCTGCCGCTGTTGCAGCTGCGCCAACTCGGACGTCCCGCAACCGCCAGGAGCTGATACTGCTGCTGCTGCCGCTGAGGATGCCCCCTCGGCTGCTGCTGTGGCGGCTGCATAACCAAGCAGGCGCGGCAGCCCGTGGTCATCAAAACCCGGAAACTGGCCTTTTAGAAGCGGGTCTTGTTGCTGCTGTTCTGACTGCTGTTGTTGTTGTTGGTGCTGCTGCTGTTGCTCCATGAGGCGACTGTCCAGAGGGGAAGCAGACAGGCTAACCTCCCACACGCATGGCTGCTGCTGCTGCCGCTGCTGCTGCGGCGAGGGCGGCGGCATCTGCTGGCCGTGTCGCCCCTGCTGGTCCTGTTGTTGCGGCTGCTCCTGTTGCCACATCATGTGCTTCGTCTCGTTATTCTGCTGGTGCTGCTGCTGTCCTTGCAGCCCTTGTTGCTCTGGGTCCATCAACCTCTCCGGTCTACTACTCGTCTGCTCCTGTTGCTGCTGCTGTTGTTCCTGCTCCTGATGCCCCTGTCCTTCTTGTTGCTGCTGCCCTTGTTGCGGCGGCTGCTGCTCCTGATCTCGCTCCATCCGTACCGGCAACGGTTCGGAAGCCCCACTGCGGATATGAGCGGATCCGCCCTCCTCCTTCTCCTTTCCTGCCGCAGCCTCTCCCTTTGCCGCAGCTGCCGCAGCCTCCGCTGCAGCTGCTTCAGCCATCCGCTCCTCTTCCGCCGCAGCAACTGCGGCTGCAGCGATGGCATCTAGACCCGACAAGCCCTCCAGCCCCCCACCAAACAGGTAGTCAGGCGGGCTCCTCTTGCCTGCTGCCGTAATCCACTCGCCATCGTCCCTAAGGCAGCAAGGTGGAAGGTGGAAGGTAATAGGACGTCCAGGCCACGTTAGGTGGTAACATGACCACACTCACAGTCAATCTCCACGCCAAACGGCTACCGGTATCACGCTTTGCCCGGCCCCTGCATGCCAGCATGCGCACCCCTCCTTCCCTTGCCCTTCCCTCACCCGACCCACCCGTTCTCAGATCCGGCGGGGACCCCAACGGTGACGTCGTCCCCGTCCTCCGAGACATCATCGTCCGTGCCCACACCGCCGCCGCCGCCGCCCTGTGCCGTGCCGGCAGCTGTCGCGTCACCGCCGCCGCCGTCGTCCGGCAACCGAAAGTTGACCTGAGGAGTGGCGCGATGAGGCAAGGCAAGGCGAACGACAACAACACTTAGAAGGAGACCGGGGTCTGGGGTTGCGGACCCTTCCCTTTCGCTACGTTCACCCCAGTGCCCCAATGGATAGATGGATGGGCGCTTTGTAAGGTCCCTCCTGTCTAATGTACCGCTATGGCTACCGGTAGGAGCCGAGAGACGCAAAGCTCCCCACCGGTAGCCATACCGGTACAGGGAACTAGGACAGGAGGGATCTTGATGAACAGGGGGCAGCCTACCTGCGCGGAGGGACCGCGGAGTGCTCTAGCTGCGTCATCGTAAGCCCGGGCCGCCTCCTCCGCCGTGTCAAAGGTACCGAGCCAGGTTCGGCCGCCCTGTTTAGTTTACAGTACAAGTGCCCCGCGGAGGCGGCGATTAATGCAAGAGCGACACAGACACGCTTGGAAAACGATAACGGCACAGACGGAACGTAACATAGGAAAAGGAAGGCAAAGTCACGTACGATAACTTTGGAGAGCAGTTTGCATTTACGAAAGCAAAGCGATTTGCGGTAAGCGCAGGCTAACAGAACTCCAACCTTGATGGGGTCTCGAATCTCCGCCGCGTACTTTCCCCAAGGCCGTTGTCGTACTCCACGGTACCGTACGGCACCACGTGCTCGAGCCGGGCGGAACGTGTCACGCTGGTTATTCTGCTTCGGAGTCTGCCCAGCGGCGGCAGGACTGCCCTCTCTCCCCATGCTGCCACCTCCGCCTCCGCTACCGCGACCTCCTTTATCCGCACCCTTGCCGCCTTCCCCTGCCTTATCCCCCGCCGCCGGTGGCGTCACCCTGCTCTTGCTGCCACTGCCGCCGGCGTCGCCTCCGCCTCCGCCGCCTCCGAAGCCCTCCTTCTTGCCGGTGGCGGCCGCCGTACAGGGCACCTGGAATTTAGCGGTGGCGGCAGCCGGCCCCGGCTCTGCGGCGGCGGCTGAGGGTTGTCTCGCCGACCTCGCGGCTACCGTCATCAACGCTGCCGCTGCAGCCGCGACGGCGGCAGCACCAGGGCCTGCGGCCCGCGCCGCCGCCGCGGCTGACCCCGCCGCCGCCGCCGCTGCGGCCGCTGCAAGCGACGGGTATGGCTGCTGGCCCTGCAGCATAGCCTGAAGCGATGCAAGCGCGTCTGTTTCCGACTTCCGCAAACGTGGCTTCGAATCCCGGCTGCCGCCGCCGCCGTCAGCTGTGCCAACGGTATCACGACGACTGCTGCGAGCGTCACCGTACGGGAATGCCGCACCACCGCCGCCACCATCGACCGCAGCCCTAACTCCCACGCCGCCGCTGCCGCCGCCACGCTCCCTTCCTGCCCCTCCACCGGCGGCAACGGAACCGCCCCGGCCATGCCTCCCATCGAGGATCGCCGCGGCTGCTGCTGCGCCGGAAGCGTCGGGAGGCCCGTACGCGCTGCCGCCACCGCGGCCGCCGTCACCATACTGTTGAACTGCAATTGACGAGGGCAGCCCCTTCCGTACATGCCCGGCGGGGTCTCCAGCGGCTCCGGATTCGTTTAGCAACCCCACCCCCTGCCCTGCGGCGGCGGCGCTCGCTCGCTGCTGAGCCATTGCGGCCAGCCGCAAGACGTTCATGCCGGCGAGCGCAACGGCACTAACGGGCCGTGTTGAGGGGGGAACAGCGGAGCCGCCGTTGGCATGAGGCGCTGCTTGCAATTGAGGCCCCATGTCACCATCGCCCTCTGCTTCCCCTACGGCTGCTGCTCCCAAAGCGTGTTTGCGGCTCGCGCCAACGCCCTCCTGCATCTGACGCCCTACCGTCGCCACCGTCGAGCCCCTGCCGAACAGTTGTTGTACGTCAGCATCGTCGTACGGCGGTGCGACGTCGTACGGCACACCGCGGATTTGGCCGCCATGACCATGGATGTCGTACCCATCGTGGCTGCTGCGGTGACGGGACCGTTGCGCCAGGTCCTGAGGGACGGGCATCCTTCCACGCATGGCGCCCGTGTGCTGCTGCTGCGGTTGCTGCGGTGGTTGCTGCTGCAGGGCCCCACGACCCCCCGCCCTAGCCCCATCGCCACCGCTGGTTTGTTTCTGTACGGCATCCCGACCGTTCACCATGAACGCTGACACATCCACCGGCCGCTTTGGGGCCGAATCTACACCTCTCAATGATGCAGCGGGGATCGGGATCAGCGCATCCCCACGACGGGTGACGTAGGCAATTGCGCTGTCGGCTCGGTCAGGTACGGCATCCGCTCGCGGCCTGTTGTACAAGGCAAGCTGTCTGCTGCTGTTGTCGTACGGCTGGTGCCGTTCTTTTTGGGACAGATGTTGTTGTTGCTGCTGTTGCGCGCTGTCGTACAAGTCCTCCTGGCCTCCCAGTCGTAAGTCGTACGTCAGTTCAAGGGCTTGCCGAGATGCGTGTTGGGTGACGTGGCGCCGGCCGTTTTGATTCTGTTGCTCTTGTCGTTGTCGTTGCTGCTGTTCGTGTTCCTGCTCTTGTTGTTGCTGCTGGTGCTGCTGATGCTCTCGTAGAGCTGCTAGCGCCGCAGCAAGCGCATGCGGCTGGCCGCTGCGAAGGGCAGCATGTACGGCGGCAACGGCGGCAGCAGCGCCGCCGCCGCCGTTGGGCTCCGCTGCGTCATCCCAGCCCCCATCTGCGTCTCCATCCCCGCCGCCGCCGCCGCCACGGCAACCGTCACTGCCGCGCCTGCCGCCGACGCCACAACCTTGGCTTCCGCTGTCAGCAGCACCCCCGTCTGAAACGCCGTCAGGGACTCGGTCGCTCATTAAACCCGCAATCCTGGAGGGGCGAGCCGCGCCTGCATCCTTCAGCTTAATCAGCTGATGCAGCTGTGTCGGGTGGCCTTCAAGCGCTTCGGCGGTGCTGCAGGATAGCTTGCGTTGCTGCTGCTGGGCCGCCGCGGCCGCCGCAGCTGCGCGTTCCAGTTGTAGCTCCTCTTGCTGCTGTCGGGCTTGTTGCTGCTGCAGGAGGAGTTGATGCAGCTGTTGTTGCTGCTGTTGCCGCTGTCGGCTGCGCTCTGCAGCTGCGGCAGCCGCGACCAAACTAGCTGTGTTTACCAGGTGGCTAGGGCCCAATGGCTGGCCTGTTGCCAAGTCCATTGGAGTGATAGCATAGCCAGAACTGCCAGAGGATTGAAGGTCAGCATCATCCAAGGGCAGCTGCAGTGTTAACATCCCATCCCGTACAAATGCAATGATCCTGGAGTTAACACTCTTAGGTCTCTGCGGCTGTTGGTGTTCATGTTGGTAATCAGGCTCTGGTTGGCGGTGCTGGGGGCGTTGTTGTTGCTGCTGGGCTTGCAATTGCTGTGCGCGATTGTGATGGGCAGCGGTGGCATTGTCGTAATGCACCTGACGTTGGTGCCGGCCGCGACCATTTTGAAGCTGCGACAGTTGCTGCGTGCGAGGAGAAGATCCCGTCGAATCGCCAACAGGGTATTCGCCATCGGCTGGAGTCGGGTTACCGACATGTTGACTGGCGGGCAGTTGCATTCGCGCAATTTCGCCAGCGGTTCCCATAAGCCGGCCACTGCGGCTCCCTGCAGGAGTAATGCAGTTATGGATGAAGTGGTTGACAACATTTCGCTGTATGCAAAGCTGCGCGACAGTCCGGTCGCTAGACATACACAAGCAAGTACCGGTCAGCGGGCAAACAAACTGTCTCCCAGCAGCAGGAAGGTTAGCGAATGAACGCAGTGCAGGCTGTGTCTATCAGGCGCCCTGACCTTTACTTGTCGTCTTCCCTGCTTATTTCTGCAGTTCCCACTTGGCCCTACCGATTTACGACCCAAGTAGGATATCGCACACATAGCAGACAACTTTCTGTAAATACTCACGTCCAGACATGCCGCTAAGAGCTCCCCCTGCAGCCCATGCTTGCAAAAGCTGTACGCTGCTCGCCGCCGCCTGGTGTCCTAATGGATGCTGCTGCTGCATGACGAGGCCGCGTGGCGGTGCTCCGCGGGCAAAATCCCAGGATACCTAGAATGATATCGCTAATAAATTAACAGCCAGCAAACGGTGAATCTGTGCGGGACGTGAGCGTAGTCAAAAGGGTTATTTTAGTCGGGCAACAAGGACACCCCGTCAGTAGATAAAAAAGGTAATGTCGCATGCAGTGAACAAGCTATTCCAAAAGACGTGTACACATCGTATGTCGTTTTACGAAATTGACCGACGTTCTATTCCCAGTCACACCAACAAAGTACTGTGCCAAGTAGTGAAAAGGGACGCTGTGACAGGGTCTTAGGTTTTATTCAATGACGGCGACGTCCCCAACACCGAGCAAGTCTCTTTGGTGTTAAAGGACGAGACTCTGCAAGCAACAATTTTACTCAGGACGGACTGGCCATTTAGCTCCCCTTATGAGCGTAAATTGTAACTACCTATCAAGAAAGCTACACAAAGCATGCATACTACGACTCCGCCGCCGTGTGGTAGCAGTAATGTTAAACCTGGGACGCCGCGCGGTCGCCAACTTACTCAAATTGCCGCTAGCTTAAGCGCTCCACTAGAGTATTATATGGCGTATCATGTTGGCTGGACAAACGGGTAGCCTTAAACTGGCGGACGAGGTACTCAGATCTAAGGTATGGTCACAAAATACTCGCTACAAGGAGGACACTAGACCCATAGTAAGGACACGCGTTTTCGCACTGGAGATACCTCGCGCCTCCAAAACCCGTGTATGGCGCGGCCCAACAACATGCAATACGGCGTATCTGGCGGCGGCGGTTGACTCCGGCGGGCGCCACATAAATATTATTGTGAACACCGGTGTGCCTTTTACATTAAGCAATTGGGAGAAAAGGACTTTGGATAACATGTTAATCTTAAAAACGCCTTCATGTCTAATTAACCGAGTCATAGGTAAAGCCGTCGAAATGTCTGTCATAAAAGCGAAAGCAGTAAGGCCCGCGTTCAAAGATTATATAATTCGCTAATTAAATACTCTTAAAGTGGTGCATTCCAAGTTGTTTACCCCACTTTAGGCTCTACGGGAATGAGACCCTTACGAGCTGGACGAAGTAGTCCGCCCACCATACCTTTCTTACAACGGGCCTTGCGACAAGCCCCCAGCGCCGAACTAGTTTTGTATTATAGGTGTAGTTTGCTTATGAATGGGTATGCTTTGTGGCCGTGAAGCCGCATTTGGCCACGTCTTTAACCATTCTCGTGACTGCCTGATGCCACAGCCTAGTGTACCAGTAAGCGAACAGTTGGGCACTAGGACGCAAGTAGAGCCTTCAGGAGCCGTCCGGGAAAGCATTATCCACTGAGCTTCGCTGAACCAGGGCTCAGCTCAAAGCCGCAATACCGGTACCGTACCGGTAGTCAATGCCCTACTGCCTACTCCCAGGGCAGATCCCGATCGACAGCCTCGCAGGATACTTACAATACAGTTAAAGCTGATTGATCCAGTAACTGGCCAGCAAAGTTTCACCCGTTGCCCGGCGTGGCCAGAATTGGTCTGGAGCAACTAGGTTAGGTCGGTGATGGAATATGAATCCATCCACGTTGACTCCGTTGAGTCTTGTGGGGCTGGCAGCATGCATGGTCATACCTGGCCTGTGTCCGGCTGCCTACATGCTAACCATGCTGCCCGCCAAGGGCAGCAAGAAGCACGGCACACGCAAACACCAAGAAACCCGCGAGCGCTCGCATTACGACCCTCTATCAACCTGCCATACTGATGTATTAGCAATATTAGTTCTCGCTTGAGTCAGTACTCTAGAGTAACCTGGGTGTCCTGACACCTGGGTAAGCACCGTCCAGCGTCGACACACGACACACGGCCAGTTTTCTTAACACACGACACACCGGCGAAAAATACGTTCCAACTTGCGGCTACTTTTCATAACACCCACAAAAAACATCACATACGGTACATACAGCCATTGTTGGCTCAAAACTGTTACATCCGAATGCTGCCGTCTGCCCCCACTCTAGCAACCTACACACACCGGTACCTATCTATATCGCTGTCCCTAGAGCCTGTACCTGCTTCACAAAACACTGGCCTGCTCCAACCGCCTACGCTACGAACCTAACGAACGCTGCTAACCATGCCTGACCAACCAACCTAGCCTACTTACTGCCTGCAAATGCAAAGTTCCTCAGGTCAGTAATCCGCTGCTGCTGCAGCTCCAGACCTTTACCCTTGCCCTTGCCAAGACCAGCCCCACGCACCCCGACTCCGCCCACCCCCGTCGTACCGCTGCCTCCAGTCCTACGGGGCGGCTGGAAGGGCCTCCGCAGGTCCACCTCGGCTAGGGCTTGACGGGCGGCTCCACCCCCACCGCCGCCGCGACGCTGTTGTGATGCAAGCCCACCTGCAAGCACCCCACCACCACCGCTGCCACCCCCGACGCCGCGTCCCACACAGCCTACCGCCCGGGCCGCCACCTCCACAATCTCAACATCGTCATCCTCGTCATTATCAATACCAGCGCTGTCGTTGTTGGCAACCCCCTGCATGCCCGCCTGCCCCGGCGTTCCTTGCGCGAAAAGCTGCGGCTGTTGCTGTGGAAGCGGAGATAGGCCCGAGTCATGCAGGGTATCCAAGCCGCCCTGTACGAACACATTGGGGCGGTAGCCTAGCTCCCTTTGTGTAGCGGCGCCCAAGCTGGCACGCCCAACCGCGCTGCGCCGCTTGGGTGCACTTCGCACGAACGCAAAATCGGCAAGTGGCTTGGGAGCGGTAGCAGGCGGCGCACCGGGTGCGGAATAACCTCCACGGAGCCCGGCGGGCGTGCCTGACGAATGCCGCCTTGGTTGCTGTGACAGCAGCAGCTGCTGCTGCCTGGCTTGTGGCTGCTGTGGCGGCGGCGGGGTCGTGCTGGGCGGCACTGGGAACAAGTTATGCTCCACGCGCGTTAGCGCCTGCTTAGCCATCCGCGCAAAACCAGCCATGTGGCGCAGAGATTGCAGCGGATCGTCATGGGCTGCGGTTCCATCAGCGGCCACATCCGCGATAATCTCCACATCCTCGTCTCCCTCCTCCTCGCCCTCCATGCTCCGATGGGCTGCCGCCTCACCCGCACCACCTACATTCGCCTCGGCCCCATGCCGGTCCGCCTCCGCCGGTTGCGGCCGTCGCTCCTCCTCCTCCTGCTGTGCTCCTGCCGTGTCAGTTACCACCTGCATGCCTCCACGGTCTTCGCCTGCATCTGCCCCATAGCAGCGCTGCTCATGCGGTGCCTGTTGACCAAGCCCACCGATAGGCGACGTCCGACGCAGCGCAGCAATGGCAGCAACTGCACCACCACCGCTGCCATCACCGCCAGGGGACTTAGCAGCAGCGGCTGCTGCTGCTGCCAGTCGTGCGGCAACCGTAGCTGCGCTGGTCCTCGCCCGTCGGAGACCAACAGCATTCCCCTCGCCGGCGCCCTCCACTAGTCCGGTTGCCATGTAATCACCATGTGTGTCATGGAGCTCAGGGAACAGGCACGACGCCACACCGTTGTTCTCGTCACGTCCTGCTGGGAAGCCGTCGTTGGAGCGTCTGGGACGGCTCTTTTGGAGCGTCCTGTGCGTCCGCGCGCCGCCGCTGTCACCACTGCCCTCTCCATGCAATACCCCTTCCGCTCGCTGAAGCCGCCGCTGCTGCTGCTGTTGCTGCTGCTGCCGCCCTTGCTGTTCCTGCTCGTCCTGCAACTGCTGCTGCTGTAACCCTAACCCTGCTAAGAGTGATTCACGCCTGCTGTTAGCATCCTGACGCTCCAGCGCACGCATAAAATTCGAGGCCTCGGGATCATCGTCATCACCGTTATCGTTACCATCGTCACCCATGCCTCCGCCAGTGCCTGCGTCCAGCTCGCCTAGCCGTCCTGCCTCGCAGCCAACCCCGCCTTTCCCAGCCCTTCCTCGACGGCTGCCAAAGAGCTCACCGCTAGGAGACGGCGGCTCCTGCCATCCGCTGACGTCGTCAAGATCACCAACATCTGCCGGCGGAGACCCGCGTGGCCGTGTACCCGGTGAACAAAAGAGCCGCGTCCCTGCGCCCTCGCAGCCACCACCAGCATCGTCTCCCAGCGCCCGCAACAACGCCTGCTCCTGCTGCTCCTCCTCCTCCTGCTGCTGTTGCTGCTGCCTTAGCACTTGGTGCGACTGGCAGGCGCCCTGACCCTTGCCGCCGCTGCCGCCTTCTAGGGCAGCGCCCATGGGATCCCCACCACCCAGCAGCCGCCTGGCTGATGGATGCAGCAGCCGCGACATATGTGACACAGAAGCTGGAGCAGGCACAGGCTGCTGCTGCTGTTGCTGCTCACCGGAATTCCGGCGCCGGCGGAGACCCAGAACGGGCTGCTGCCGTGGTTGCCGCTGAGGGCCCTTGAAGGGGCTGGTTACCTCCTCCTCCTCCTCTTCGCCCCCGCCCTCTCCGTCGGCAATGTCCCCCGCCGCATCCATGCCCCTCGCTCCGGCACCCACGAGATAGCGCCTTGGGCCGCTTCCGGCACGGTGGTGTGGTGAGCCAAGAACCGCGGAGACTCCGACCGTGAGGACCGCATCGGGGCCGCATGGCTGCATGCTCCCAAGAAGGTCTGATGCTGCCCCGTCCGCCTGCTCACCCTCAGCCTCAACCCCCAGGTCGTATATGCTGAACTGCGGTGGCAGCAGCCTGCCTCTAGTGCCGGTACTGTTACCGCCCAGACCGCAGGGCCGGCCAGCGAGCCCAACACCAGCACGCCCTGCTGCTGCCGAAGCAGCAGGGCCCGAAACTGCGGCTCCCAGCCCGTGTTCGTGTTCGCGGGTGGCGAGCGAGGTGGCGTCTTCACCTTCCTCGAGGCTATGCACCATGCTAAGGCTGTTGTACGGGCGCTGGCTGCCGTCCCCAGACGCCAGCAGCCCCAACGCAGCTCCTCCTCCTGTCCCTCCTGCTGCAGTTCCCGCGCAGCTGCCTGCTTGCCTCCAGCTCTGGGCCGCAGCCAGGGCGCCCATGACCTGGCGGCGGCTGGGGACATGGGCGGAGGGAGGACCGGGCGGCAGGCCCCAGCTGGTGCTGGAACCGCCTCCACCTCCACCTCCACCGCAGAGAGGCTGCTGCGACAGCGGACAGGAGTCGGAAGGCTGCGAGAAGAGCGCCTGGTGGGGAGGAGGACAGGGAAGAGGGCCAGCAGCAAGGGATGAGGGTGCGCGTCAAGGACTCGCCAACACTGGCCTGCTTACTGATTGCGTGTGTAGGCACAGTGCAGGCCCGCTGGTGTGGGAAAAGCACACCGATATCCCCCGTTGCCATGTATCTCCTTGCTCCATGCGTGTCACGCACGCGCTTTTCCTCACTTCACGCACTGCCAGCAGCTTCCATACCCCGCCCTGCCTACCTCCATGGCAAGGTGCGCAGGCGCTCGCGACCGGCCGCCCCCTCGCCCTCCACCACCGCCTCGCAGCCCCCAGCCCGCCGCCGCTTCACAGCCGGCAGTTAGTTGACTGTCGAGCTGGCTGTCGTACTGACTGTTGAACTGGCTGGCGGTCCCCGCGGCCGCTTGGCTGCCTGGGCCCTCATGGTCGGATGCAGCGCCCGAGAGCCACCCGCGCAGCAGACCCTGCGTTCGCCACCAATCCGAAGAAAAGGGGACCGTTTAATATGGTTTAGTAGAATGCGTATGGATAGAGCGACAATGTGAGACAGTCGGTATGGGACGGAAGGTCGCCTGTCCGAATGCCACACACAGCCTTGAATATGAACAGTGATAGCAAGGATGAAGGCCGGCTGCGGCTTTTAGCGATACTCCCCAAGTCCCCAAGCGATACTCCCCAAGTCCCCAAGCGATACTTCCCTAGTCCCCAAGAAGGGTTGTTGTCCCATGTCCCACATGTACCTCCGCACCTGCGAGCCCGCCTGACTGCCCGTTCCTCCACCGCCACCCTCCGCCGCGCCTTGGCCTAAAGAGGCGCCGCAAAAGGTGTCCGCGTCGCCACCCGCTGCCTGCAAGCCATAAGGCGCGGGCAATGCATATCATGAGCGTGGCATAGGACTGGTTGACTGGAAAGCCGCACTGTAAACGTCACTGTTAAAGGACGTGCAGTCCCTTCCCCCGGCTTCAATTCCGCTTGCACTCATATAAGCCCAATGCCCAGCCCTGCTCGCCCGCCTCAACGTACCACAGAGGGGTTCCTATCCGCCACACGTCCAGCACCGTTGGTCCCAGCTGCACCATGCGACCGAGCGGGTGCGTTACCGCGCCGGAATTGAGAGAACAGGCTAGCAGAGCCGCCGCCGCCACCACCACCGCCGGCTGCTGCGGCTGCTGTGCCGGCCCCTGCGATGCCACCAACGTCTCGCCGGCGCCTTTTGGAGCTGGGCGGCATGAATTCGTCAGGCTCCTGGTCAGGGGGGTAGAGGGAGGTAAGGAAGCATTTACCGCGCAAGTAATGCCGCGCATCGGGGCCAAGTAAGCAGGGAGAAGCATGGGGGTAAGAACGATGCAACCTGCAAGACAGTCGTTTCATGGACAGGCAGGCAGGCATGAAGGAATGCGGGTGCAAGGCAAGGGAAGCAGTTCTCGTCAAGTACTGCTCCCCAAGACAAAGAGCTGTCGACACGGATGCCTCTTACCCCATCATCCCCGGCGCCCTCCGGACGCTGCTCGTCTTCCCCAACACCCGCTCCTGCTGACAGGGCCCCTTGGGACTCCGAAACCGCAAAGAACCGTAACGCAGCCGCCATTCCCGCCGAGACGCCGTCTCCATCCTCCGTCGCCTCTCCTTCTCCCAACGTCCCAACGCCACCCTCTCCGCCCTGACTACAGCTGCTGCTGCGGCCCCTGCGCGCCCCAGCCTCCACGCACTGCACTGCAGCTCCACTCAGCGTCACGACAGCGGCGCCTTGCGTTGCCGTACCGGGCCGTTTGTAAGGCTGACTTGCGGCCGGATCCGGCTGAAAAAAGTACTTCCTGATGCCGTTTGTTGCTGCGTCACGTGGGGGTGCAACCGGCGGCCGCCCCGCATGGCGCCCAAACGGGTGCTGCTGCTGTGGAAGAAGGCCACCCCCCGGCTGGCTGTGCTGCCGGGGGGGGCCGTGATGGTGGCTACCGCCGCCGCCTGTGCCCCCTGGTGCTGCTGATGCAGGGGCCCAGGGAATGCGACGCTGGCTGCCGCCGCCCTCCAGAGCGGTTCCGGAGCCGGAGCCGGATGACGTTCCGCGGCGGGGTTGCTGTTGCTGCTGCGAGGGTTGTTGTTGCTGTTGGTGCTGGGAGGATGGTGGCGCTGGCGGCAGGTGGAGGAGTGCATGCAGGTGGCGGGGCGGGTAGCGGCAGCCGCGGTAAATGGCGACGAGGTCAAAGGGCTGCAGGGTGTTGGGATCCAAGTCGCCTGCATGCCGGGTGATAGTGGTGGGTGGTGGGGCCGAGTGGAGAAAAAACGGAGAGGAAGGCTCGTACAACATGCACCCATGCCAGCACTGCAGCTCAGCTAATCCAACGCAGCCACAAACCGGCCCCATCCCAACCCCCCAAACCCGCACACACACCCGACAATCACAGTATGTTCCTACTCGCGGCCAGTTTTCTTAACACACACCCGCAGCAATGCCCGCCGCAACCCCCTGCTCCATGGGCGGTCCCAGGAACGGCAGCTCCTGCAGCTCCGGCCCCTCCGGCGGCAGCGCGGCCAGCACCTGCACATCCGCGCCGCCCAGGCCGCCCGGGGGCAGCGGCCGCAGGTGCGTCATGACGCGGTCGTGCGGGCAGAACACGCGTTGGTGGCGGAAGAGCCAGATGGTGCGCTGGAAGCGGACCTCGTAGCCGGGCGGCAGGGAGGTGCCGTTGAAACGCAGGAAGCGGACGGCCTGCGCGGGGCGGTGGACAGCCGAAGCGGGGAAGGTGAGCGGTAAGGAGGACAAGGGACCGGAAGGTGTACTGCGGAAGGTGTCTTGCAAGAGCCAACTCCAGTCCCGCACCCAGGCCCCAGTCAACTGCCGCCTTTCCCACCTTGACGAAGTCGCGGTGCTTGCGCATCATGGCGTGCGCCTTCTTGATGCCCACCCCCGACAGGTTGGGCAGGAAGTCGCAGCCGGCAAAGATGCACATCTGCGGTTGCAGATGGGGCGGAGGGCAACATGGCAGGGGTGAGCAGCCAGCAATTTTGGTAGCAGCCGTATCCCGGTGGGGCGGGCTGATAATTCGTTGCTGTGCCGTCATAACACAGCATCTGCACCACACGGCATATCCCATCATCCGAAGCAGCCGCGTGTCGGGTCAGTTGGCCCTATCGGTGTTTACGCTTACAGCCCCGCAAAGCCCTCCCGAACAGCCCTCCTCCGTCCGCACCTGCAGCAGCATCTCATGGTCGAACCCCGTCATGTTGAGTTCCCGCACCAGCGGCAAGTCAGCCAGCAGGATCTCCTCGCCCGAGCCGCTGCGATCCAACTTGTACAGCACACGTGGGCAGCCGTACGCCAGCATGTCGCTGTCCTCCGTAAGTACGGCATGTACATCACCGCGCAGCGCCAGGTACGACATCTGTGCATCAGCTTCGTACGGCGCTACCAGGCATAGCACGCCGCGCTCACGCAGAGCCTTGTTTGGGAAGGGCGCGGCATGAAGAGGAGGGCGCATGCATTAGGAAAAAACGTTTCTGGACTGGCATGGACTTTCATACAGATACCCTGCAGGTACGCTCATTCTACGGTTCGGCTGGGTGTCAACGGGCCGTTATCACGCCATACCCTTCACCCATAATCGGCCAGTCCAGAAGGCTGGTTACTGTGGTTAGTGACCTCCATGACCCCCACTCACCTCCATGACCACCTTGGCCATCCACGGCGCGATGTCGACTGCCCGCTGGTAGCACTCCGTAGCGGCCGCCATGTTGCCCGACTCCGCATGCGACCGAGCACGCTCCAGGGCCTCCCGGCGGTTCCTGTCGTGGACAAGGGCATGTTGCAGAGCAACCGGCAGGACCGACATGGTTAGAAGTTTGATCGAGCCCCGTAAGTTCTCCAAAAGTGCATGCGACATGCGTGCCCGCATATCCAGCTACAGCTCTGGGGTGTAGGGTAGTTGATAGCTGCCAGACTCCTGCCTGCATGCCAGCGCCTTCTCCTTCCCCGATTGGTAAGGACGTACCTGCGGCGGCTGTCCTCCTCATCTGCCTTCATAGGAAGCCGGCACCCATCGAATACAACAACGGGTATGACGCCGTTTCCCAGCAGCATTTCAACGCGGGACACAAAGTACCGGACATACCTGCATGAGGGCGGATGCGGATGTAAAAAGCAGAATACTGAACGAAAATGTGGTCATCTTGGTTCTGACAGTCTGTCTCCACGACCCATGCAGGTAGGGGCAAAGACCTGGTCCACCCCGGGCGCTGTATAACGCGCACACCCCGACAGGTCAACCGTTACACTGAATACACCTGCTTACCCGTCAGTCCATACTCCTTCGCATAGCTCACGGCTGCAACTGTACGCCCCCTTATGCAACCACGAGTACCCATCGATGGCGACTTTGTGCCCGCGGTACGAGCTGACGTGTGTAGGGCGTGAAATGCTCTTAAGCTGCTGCAGCAATCCATTTATGCCCATGTTGGGCTGGTCCTCCGCCAGATAGCGCTGCCATTACGAGTTTATTGCTTGAATGGGTTTACCCTGACAGCTCTGTAACCCGACAACCGGGTCCAGTATAAGTTTCATCCGCTACGTTTACAATCGGTATGGTTAATAGTATTATATGTTTAGGTAGACGCGAACCTTCCCCCTGAGGTCCAAATTTCTATGCCAGAATTTTGCAGTCTTTGGTATTATACATAGTGTCAGAAGGAGACAGCGGCCTTACACTTCTTCCTAAGTGCTAGGGCTGCAGGGCTGCACCTTGTAACGGCGACCTGTGATTACTTGCCTGTCGTACCGTACATTTCGGTGTTGCTTTCGTTCGCATGCAAGCTGCGGTAAACTTTTACAAAACGTTTAGTGCGATCGAATCTTACGTATGAAGAATTAGCCAGTAGTGTCTTTTAACTTCGCCGTTCGTTTGCGAGGATAGTCCTATGCCGCTATGGCTCCGACGGAGCCCCTTGACTCTACGCTGGACGTAGGCTTTGGTGCTTGGAGTTCGGAGCTGGAGATTGGACCTCCACCGACCTCTCGGCAGAGGAAAGCAACTGCGTCATACTGCCTAGAGCAGTTACTTGCCTTGGCCGACCTCCGGGCCGTGGCCGCATTGCGAAAGCAGCATATCCTTTCTACCAGGTGAGGTGGTGCAAACTTGTTGCTGGAGGGGAGCTTCAGGACATGAAGCACCTATTATGCGGCGCTTCCACGTGTAGGGCATGCTCCATGCACGCATCCGCAGTCCTAACAACCTCTCTGCGCTGCGCATCTCCGCTCCCACAAAGAGCAGCATCCCCCTGTCCCTCCCCTCGCCTGCCTTCCTCCAGGCACCCACGTGGCGGCACCCACCCACCGCCTCTCAACCACCACCTCCAAGCAGTAATCCAGCTACGGCAGAGCGCGGCCAAGCGGCAAGCCGAGGAGCAGGCAGCAGGTCACCAGCCCGCTGCCTCCGCCGCCGCTGCCGTCACCTCCGTCGGCAGGAAACCCATCGTTGTCGTACCCCCGCCGGGTGCGGCCGCCGCCGGGGCGCCGGCGACAGCACCGCTAGGGTGCCACCTGGCACGTCGCTGCCCCGCTGCGGGCGGCCGGACTGCAACCCCCGGCGGTGCCGCTGGCGGCAGCGGAAGGGGAGCGGCGGAGGGAAGCAGCCTGGCCCGCGTGTACGGCAGTCGCATCCGAGTCAGCGAGCTCCCAGAGGACTATGCCGAGTACTTCCAGGGTCTGGAACCGGTCGCGCAGCCCGAACCTGCAGAGGAGCTAGATCCGATGAGTCCGCTTCTGGATCCAAATGCCGTACACAAGAGGCAACGCTTGGGGCCCGATGCGGCGGCGGCGACGATGGCGCCTGGGGCGATGATGCTGGGCGGTGCGCCGGTCGCCTCTAGCGGCAACCTGCTTGGGAGCGGCGCTGTCGGCGCGGAAGTGCCTTTCCTGATGCAGCCGCATCCGCATGGTGCCTTCCAGCAGCAGCCTGAGCCTCAAGCCATGAGCGGTGGCATGGCCGCCCCACCGGCAGGAGGGCTGCTGGCGCCCTTCCTGCCACCGCAGCCGTCAGCTGCCGCGGGGGCGGCAGCAACGCCAGCAGACCCCTCAGCATCCCTCATGGGCTTGCCGTACGGCACAATGACGCAGTACGGCACCCTGGGCCAGCAGCCGCTGCCGTCGACCACGATGGCTGCGGCGCAGCAGCAGCAGCAGGCTCTGTACGGGGCTGTAGCGCCGGCGGTGGCGGGGGCAGCGCTGGGTGGTGGCGGCGGCATGGGGGGAGGCTTTGGCGGGGTTGGGAGTGTGCCGGCGCGGGCGGTAGGTGCGGATGAGCTCATGTTGGACGATGACGACGATGATCATGAGGATGATGATGACGACGAGGAGGAGGAGGGCGATGGGGACGCGGCGGAGATGGATACGCAGCTGGGGGATGCCTTTGACGCGTTGGGGGACACGCAGGGTTACGGCGGAGAGGGTGCGGGAGCGGGGGTGGCGGGATACGGCGGGTTGGCTGGGGCTGGGGCTGGTTCCGGGGCGCAGGCGGGCGGTGCGGGCGCGGAGGAGGAGGATGACGGCACGATGGTGGAGGAGTTTTGAGGAGGCTGGGTTCACAATTCGCGGCACTTCGCTGCTCCCGATGTATGATGATCATTTATGTATGTGTATGAACCGGGCCGTTGGATGAGGTATTGAGAGATTTAAGACTGACTGTCCCTTGCTGCGATACCGGTATGAACGTATACCGGTATGCGGAACGGGCAGCCCTGCTGCTCCATGTAAGAAACAATCGGTGTAACAAGCGAAGGTGGAGAGAGTCAAACCATCGTACACCAGGGGACCTGCGCCCTTGCACGTCTTTCGCACACGCACACACGACGACAGTCAACATGACATCAGCCGGCGGTGCAATCATGTCATGTGCATACTGCTGCTATCGTAAAATATACACCTGCCGTGGGGGTTGAAGAAACCCACGGGAGCGTTCCCCTCCTTCGGAAAGCCCCAATACCCCTCCGCCCATGACCAATACGCGCAACCCTGCCCACCTCGCGTCACCAGCACACAACCCCCCTCACAACCCACGATCCCCATCTCGCGGCCCCAACGCCCTCATACCCTCCTTGCCGTGCCCCCCTCCTGCGGGTTCACTGCCACCCAACACACCTCCAGCTTCGCACTCCGGCTGACAGCACCATCGCCGCTCCCACTCCTACCGCCCTCCTCCTCCTCCCCCGCCAAACCCAGGCCCCCTGCAGCGGTCCTCATGCAACCCCCCTCCACACCCCGCCCTGCATGTGCCACGCCGGCCTGCCCTCCCTCCCCTCCAGACCCCGCACCAGCACCGCCCTGCTGCCGCAGCAGCCCCCCCGCTGCTCCCCCTCCCTCTGCCACGTCGGAAACCACCGCCACCGGCTCCAGGGGCCCCCCCGGGGTGCCCTCATGGCTCCGACGGCACACGAACTCCTGCCCCCGCCAGGCCACCCGATCCCCCCGGTGGTAGCGGAAGCCCGCCTCGAACTCGGGGGCTGCCAGCACCGCCTCCTCGTCTGAGCCCTCGTCCTCGTCCTCGTCCGAGGCCGTGTTGGGACCGTTGCGGTCGTGGACGACGCTGGCGTGCAGGAGGTGCTGCTGCTGGTCGCCGCGGGCACCGGCGCTGCCGCCGCCTGCACGCATGGCATGGCATGGCAGGACAGGGCACACCATGATGAATTGCCGCCTTGCTGCGGACCCCATACCGCTATGGTATTCCGCTTCCTAGGGTATCCGAAGCTCACCCGGTACGATGGAGGCGGGGCCCCCGGAGGTGTCCTCAAAGGGGAAACCTATCATGGGCACGCCGCCTGGCGAGCAGATGCGGTTAGCCAGGCGCCGCTGTATCGGTTTCGCGTGCTTGACGAAACAGCCAGGACACAAATAGCGGTAGGGTTCATCTGGTTTCTCCGTGCCAGGCCGAAAGTAGGCTAGCGTTCGCGTCAAAGTGCACAAGCCGGTGACTGAATCGCTCAGCCCGCTTGCCGTGTCTCGGAACTCTACTCCATAGCACTCCGAAGGAGAGTGAGTTTCGTAAAAAACATACAGCTGGTCGCCTATGTGCTCGAATTGATACTGGTTGGGCGGAAGAGGGCGTATGCAGTGAAAGCATGCAACACCCTCAGACTCGGCTGAAGGCTTGTTACCCATCGTTTGAAAATTTAACACTGAGAAGATATATATGTCGGATCTAGTGCTAGTTGCTACCCCTTATCAACAACAGGTATAGCTATCTGGGTCGCTGAAAACGTTTACGTCCCTTCATGAGCCTGGCCCTACTGTGACTTTTGTTCATGGACTGCAAGACTAGCGATAGATACAAATAACACGATTTGTCCACAGAAGTCCATCAGCAACCCCGAGCAGGTTTTCCGTACAACTGGCCTTGGCTGTGAACATGCACATGCCGACGCGCGGCGGTGGCCAAGGACATCGACCGCCTGCAAGGGACTGCGGATGCTGGGCTGCCTATTTGGCATAGGTATAGCCCGGAGGCCACCAAGGCTGAGATCCCATGGCGTGTGCCGTGTGGTGAGCACAATGGTGGCGGCCAAGATTCGAGGGGTTGAATGGACGCACAGGATGGGATTGCGGCATTACACCCGGCCGTAATTACAGCGCTGGACGGCGCGACTTGGTTACTTGCTTGGGAAAACGTTGGGGGCAGTTGGCGTTCCACAGGGTGTTTTGTGTCATTGGTGCGCAAGGGACGGGGGTCATGCTGGGCAAGTTATTCCAGGATGTGGCTGGATGCGGAGTGTGTTGCATGGGGTTATGAGGCGGCTTCTAAGCGGGTTGTGGGCTTTGTGCAGGTTGCCGAGTGAGTTGAGGTGGGGTCCAAGTCAAAACACTCCTGGGGGGACTCCATGTGTGCAAATTAAGGCATGCTGAAGGAAGACATCCATACTTCGGTATGACGACTTATCACACGCAAAGGCGATTGTGACATGCGCGCTAGGCACTGCTCGGTGGTCAAGCAGGTGTTGGGTGGTGAGGTAACCGCAAGACGTTAGGTGACGTGTTCTGGCTTGTAGGCCCTCGGGTAGGGGCAAATCCACGGGCAACCCGCAAGGCAACAGCTCAAAACGCAGGCAGCATATGAGAGATTCGGGTCTTGGCCTTACAAGGAGCTTCAAGAGAGAGATTAGTGTCGCTATGCTGCCACAAGGGCGACAACAGCAAGCTTTCCACATGCCATCCTGGCATTGGCATGTCATACCCGACAAAACTCATCTGTGAAGAGTAAGGACGAAATAAATACAGGTAACAAGATAGGAACTGGCTTTATGCAAGCGTGTGAGGTGACCAGGAGAACAGGGCCGTCTGCGGTTGTCCGGGTGAAAAACCTCAAGCGCAAGGCCAGCCAAATCAACCCCCCTACAGCACTCAAAAGGTATAGAGGCCGCGTTAGTAAAGTTTCTGCTTTGCATATTTGCAGCAAGGCCTAGCGCTATAACAGCGTGCCTTGCGTACGGCAACACTGTCACGCTCAAAGCAGGTACGGCGGCCGCGGTGCTTGCAAACTTGACACAGGAGTCTATCGCAAATGCATCGTGCCTTATAATAGTTCAGCTGCGGTCGTTTGTACATCTAGGCAGATCGTTTCCGCTGCAACTCCTATCCGAGTGCTCTAGCTGATTACCGCGAATAGCTCTTAAAGGTTTACAAGTCGTTCCTGTACTCGTTTTTGCGTCGCTTGCACTGAAAGGGGCGGATACCTAGGCAGGTGTAAAATTGAGCTACCCTCTACTGTTTGGCTTTTTATGCCCTTCAAAATGGACTACACGAGCGTGAATAATGCATATTAAGAGACGGGTATAAGCGGGTGCTACTATCAAGGAGCAGAGACGTTAGCCGCATGTTCGCCTAAGAATCGCAGGCGCAGCTTCGATCCGCTGCCAAGGATCGCATCAGGTTGTGCGTCAGCATGGAAGATAAAGATACAGGGCAGGTCCCTGGTCCGCCAACACCTCCAACGGAGCTTAGCACGAAAGGTGCACGGCCCACCATTGCGCTCGGCATCAGCCTGACCGGGCGCAATGTAAACGATACAGCGGTGGCCGGCTTATCAGGGGAACATATTGATACTTTACCATGGGTAAGTTTCACAGTTTTGTCTTCCGGCTTGGGACGGTAACAGGCCTGTAACCCCAGGCAGACCCGAGGCAACACCGTTGGCCGCGATGTCCCTCTTTTCCCGGGTTGCCCCTCCTCCTGCGCTCTTGCTTTGGGTGGAGGAAGAGCCTTTGCCGTAGTGGTTTCCGTACCAGTCCAGCCTGTTGCCCTGCCACGCTCTCCCCTTTTCCAACCATCCCACAGCGCATACTTGGCTTCCGCCTATCCCAACAATCCAACCCCACCGTCTGCTCCCGTGTACCCCACACACCACCTCGACACTGACAGCCCACCACTTTGTCCCATGGCTTACCTTCCCTCCCTCCCCCATCACCATTTTGTTTTTACCCCCTCCCCCCGGCCGTTGATGCACTTACCTATACTCTCCCCCCACCGCCGTACTGTCCCCTCCCCTGTGCCGTACAGTCCTCCGACGCGCTGGAGGGCTACCGGGAGCGCATGAAGCAGCGCTCCTTCCACCTCATGCTGCCGGAGGACGACCCGCTGTCGGCCAGGCTGGACGCAGGTCAGGCAGGGTGTGGAGGAGAAGAAACTGAGGAGCTCAGGGAGGGGGGCGGAAGAGAGAGGGAGGGACGGGGAGGGGGTGGACGGAGAGAGTGACGCAAGCTGGATGCACTCCAGCATGAGCGGATGGACTTGTGTTGACGAGGCGGTGCGGGCGCATGTATGAAGGCCAGGGGTTGTGTAATTTGGTGTCAGGCTATATGGGTGGGGGGTTAGTGAATGGGGACTACTGAAAACCAGAACAAAAGAACGGTCGCGAGGGTCAGGGAATTGGGATGCCGCTGTGCGGTGCGCAAATGCGGGTTGGCATCATGGCAAGCGTGTTGCAAGTGGTGTGCTATTCAGAGGCGCGGTACGACGGGCTGCCGGCGGGTTTGAGGAGTGCTGGGCGGCCCTGGGTGACCCCTGGGTAACCATGTGCCTTATCATGACGCTACGCAAACCGCTGGCGACTAGGGTGGCATCCCTGACTTCCCGCGCTCCGTCCCCGCTTTCCCCCCTCCCCCCGTGCAGTCTTCTCGCTGCCTCAGGAGTTGTGGCCCATCCTGCCGCCGGGTGCGGTGTACTGCATGGAAACCCATGACCCGCGGGTCGGTTTCGGCTACCTGCAGCACACCGACTACCCGGAAGTCAAGGTAGGGCGACGGCAGCTGGAGTGGTGTAGGGCTGGCGAGCCAGGGCACCGGCGTAAAGCTTAGCATCTCTCGGCCCCCCCCATTCACCTCCCACCCGCCTCCGCTCCCATTCCCCTTCATCCTCCCCTGCCTTGCCCTCCCATTCACCTCTCTCCCCTCTCGTCCAGGTCCGCATCAACACCTACTTTGGCAAGTACTCCCGCCACCTGGTGGACTTTGCGGTGTTCTGGCGGCCGCCCTGGCGGCACTCCTCCTGGCAGTCGGGCGCGGCGCCGCCCCCGGACCTGCCCTGGGAGCCGCGGCAGGTGCTGGGACACACCACCAGCGGTGAGGAGGGCAAGGGAGGGGAAGGCTGAGAGAGAACGCTTCCATAAGGGCTGTAGCCCAGACACCACCGGATTGGGGCGGGGTGTGGTGTGGACTGTGGACTGTGGAGGTGACGGTGACGTGGGTTGGGAGGAGTGGGACTGAAAGGCTTTTGCATGCGCCGACGCCCCCCTGACCCCATTCCTCCTCCTCCGAACCCCTCCATAACCCTCTTTTCCCCTCCTCCCCCCTCCTCCCCCCTCCTCCCCCTCCTCTCCCCTCCTCTTCTCCCCTCCTGCCCCCCCCGCAGGTGAGTACCAGTACAGCCGCACGCGGTTCCGCTTCCGCGGCCGCCGCTCGCTGATGGAGCCGGAGCGGGAGCCGCTGGAGTGGTGCGATGCGCACGGAGTGGACCACCAGGACACCAAGGTGGGGTGCGGGGGGTGGGTGGGTGGGTGGGGTAAGGAGGAAACGACTAAGGAACCGTGTGGGGGGTGGCGCGGGTGGGTGGATGGGGAGGTGGGTGGGGAGGGGCATGAGGGGAGAGGTGAAGCGCAGGACTGCTGGGAGGAAAGAAGCAATGTCTTTGGAGGGTTTCGCGAGGGAGAGTTAACCCAACAGGCCATCACACACTCCCCCGCACCCTCTTCCCGCCCCGCCCCGACCTCCAGGCTGCCAACGAAAGCGCCCCCCGCAACAGCGACAAGGACAAGGATGCGCACATCCTGGACCCGCCACGACCCTCCACTTGGGGCGAGCTGGCGCGCAGGCCCCTCATCGGCCGCATGCGCAGCCGCGGCGGCGGCGCCTACGTGCACCACATGCTGTACGACCACTCGGGCCAGCGTACGACATGCGGCCGGCGGGTGCCCGCCGGCTACCTCTTCACGCTCATGCCCACCGTCGCAGCGGCGGCAGCGGCCATGAGGCCCGCGTCGCCAGCCCGACGGCCAACAGCGCCGCCGCCGCCGCCAGCGGTCTCCATCGTCTCCACCTCCGCCAGCCCGCTCCCTGGCTCCGCTAGCCCAACCGCCGCGCCGCCGCCAACCGTCGCCAGTACGACATGTCCCTGCCCCACGCCAGTCGCCCCCGCCACGCCCGTCTCCATGGCCCCCGGCAGCCCTACCGCTGCAGCTACTGCGGCTAACGACTGCGGCGCCTCTTCCGCAGTCGCAGCCGCCACTGCCGATAAGGACATCCCCGCCTCTGTCATCTTCTCCACCGCTGCCTCCATTGCCTTCGCCAATCCACCCGCGGCCTCGCTAAATGGTGAGTCCGGCAGCGCTCCTGCCGCCGCCGCCGCCTCCGGACTCGCACGCAGCCAGGGCAGCAGCAGCAGCCGTAACGCCTACCGCGCCAGCAGCGTGGGACGGCTGCGCAGCGCCGGCAGCGGCGGCGGCCTCTCCCGCCCTCCACCCCTCAGCACAGCCTCCTCCATCTCACCCCCCAAGACCGCGCCCTCCGCTCTGCAAACCGCGGCTTCCGTCGTGGCCTCCAACTCCTGGCCCCCACCGCAGCAGCAACAGCGCAAAAACGCCAGCCCCAACCAGGCGGCCACACAGCGAAACCAACTCCCATCACAGCAGCAACAGCAACAACAGCAGCAGCGACCGCCGGGGGCCTTATCCGATGTACGGCGTTGGAGTACGTACGACGTGGCTTTCGGGCACCCCCTGCACACCGCTCGGGCGATTGATTTGGGTCTGGCGGCGGCAGCAGCGGAGGCGCCGCCGGGGGGGTCGGGTGTACGGCACTTTAGCGACACTGCGGCGGTACTGCAGGCGGTTGAGAAGGAGCTGCGGTTGCCTCGGGCGTTCGTGCCTGCCCCGCTGGTGCTGGGCCGGTGGGAGGAGGTACCCGGGCGCTATGCGCACCACCTGGCGGCTGCGCGGGAGCTGATGCCGGTGTCGGAGGAGGGTGAGGGGGGAAGAGTTGAGAGTTAGGGTGAAAAATTATGTGAATATACAAATATATGTATATATACATAGTGAAGCAACGTCATCGTGCCTTGAACGGCACCTATCCTCTCACATCCTGCCGCGTACCGGCGATCCTCTTCTTGGCTCCCACCCTACCATGCCTTTCAACCCTTGTCCCCTCACCCTGCCTCACCTTTCAATCCCTGTCCCCCCTTCAGACGCTTCCACCACCTCCAAGCTGCACCTGATGCTGTACCACCTGCAGCATGCGGCGACACTCGAGTACGACAGGTGGGTTGCACGTACGACAAAAGTCCTAAGCTCGTACCACCTGCCTTGGCGGGTTATCCGTTATTGGCACGCAGCTCTTGTATAAAGAGATGAAAAACGGAATCCCTCTCGCTCTTCCTCTTCTTCCTTCTGACACTTCCCCGCTTCTCACCCTGCCGCGCCCTTCCTCCTCCTCCACACAGGCTCGACGCCAAGCTGGTTCTGCTGCCTCAGTTGGCCCGGCTGGGTCGCAAGAGCGCGGAGATTGACGCGTGGCTGCAGGTGCGAGCAAGCGGGGGGAGGAAAGGCGGTTGGGTGGGATGCCTTGCAAAGGAGGCTGCATGAGCCCCAAGGGAACCCCGCGTGCACCCAGCGCCCATGTTTCCCTCGTGACAGGGGATCCTAGGGATGCTGTCAAAACCGGGTTACATCCCGTAGTAGCAGCTCCAGTCTGCCTGGACACTAGCAGGCATTCCATTTGTATTCACTCTTTCCCCCACTCACTCCCATGCACGCTACGCGACCCATGGGTCACTTCACTCTTTCACCCCCCTCCCCCAGGTCATCGTGGACCATGCCACCTACCTGTACGGCAAGCTTCACATCACCGACATGCAGCGCTGGCCCCAGGCCCGCCGCCTGCTGCGCCGCTGCGTGCAGCAGGCGCCCCAGCCGCTACCCCAGCTGCACCCGCTCTACCCACAAGCCCCCGCCCGCTGTGACACCCCCGTCTCGCACTACTACCCCAGCCCGCCGCCCACCCATGCGGCGGCCACTGCTGCGGATGCGCTGCGCCGGAGCGCTAGCGTGGCGGCGTACGGATCTCGGAAATCGTACGTGTTGGCTAGTCAGCAGCAGGAGCAGCGGCGGCAGCAACGGCAGCAGCCCGGCGGGCAGGGTCCGCAGAGGCAGAAGAGGAACCAGCAAGGGGGTCAGCATGGAGGGCAGGGGCAAGGGGGGCAGGGACTGCAGGACGGGCAGGACTACCTGCACCTGCCGTACCCCTTCATCACGATTGAGGAGTGGGCGGCAATTACCAAAATCATGGATTCCTGCCGGCATGCACCGCTGTACGAGCGTTGGGTGCGGCTAAGGTGCGTAAACAGGTGGTGGAGGTGGGGGGGTGGAGTTGCATGTACGGAGCACTCTTCCTCCTGAATTCGGCGGTGTCGAAGCTATCAAGGAGCTTGGGATCCTCCACCCCTCTTGTTGCGACTACCCCCTGCTCACCCCCTTGCCGGCCCGCCCCCCCTTGTCTCATGGCACCCTGCTGCCTCCTACCCCCATTGCTTTGCCCTAACCTGTGGCTTCCTACGGTTCTGTATTCCTTCCTTTCCCGGTATTAGGATTCCGTTGCTGCACTTACCATTCATCCCCCCTTTCCCCCCCTCCCCGCCCAACAGGCCGCTCATGATCGGCGCCGCCCAGCCCGGCTCCTACTGGGCTGTCCGCGACCCGCGCGAGGACGAGGGCGAGCTGGGTGCGGTGACGGCGGGGGCGCTGCAGGTGGTGGCGCTGGCGGACAGCCCGCCCGACCCGCACTCCTTCGGGCCCGTGAACGGAGACCTGCTGGACTACCTCAGCCAGGTGGGGAGGGGGGGGGTGGGGGTGGTAGTGGCAGGAAGGGGGCTGGAAGGGGGCTGGAAGGCCAAGGGTTGGGGGGGGCGGGAGGTGGGTGACCAGGAGGGGAGGGTGTAGGGAGCAGGAGCAGCTCAAGAACTTTCAGACCCCAGCCCACACAAGTTCTCCCCCCCTTTTCCCCTCTCTATGGTTTCTCATGGCTCGCTATGTTCTTTGACCCTCCCCCCCTCAATCCCCACCTCAGGACATGGCTGCCATGTGGTCGCCCGACTACGACCCGCCCCCGCCCCCCCTGGAGGACTTCCCTCGCCCCCGCGGCTATCACGGGGAGGGCCCCCCGCCCCCAGAGCTAGCGGCTCCGGAGCCCCGGCGCTGCCGACCCATCCGCTGCCGGGGTCGCGAGGAGACGCCGCTGCCTGCGTGGATGGCGGGGCTGGACGTGTGGCATAACACCACCAAGATGGAGCAGGTGCGCAGGGAGGGGGAAATATAGATAAGTGCAGGAAGGGTAAAGAGGAAACAACTAACTGACTGAGGGATGAGGCGTCAACATGGGTTGCAACATGAAGGGGGGGGCGGGGCGGAGGGGGTGTAGCGTGCAGGCCAGAGGTTCTGCAACGCAGGGAGCAGGGACGTTGTGTTAGGGGTATATGAGCATGAGCATGGGCTCTCTGTTTTCCGTCCGCTAGCATCCTCGCTGAATGTGCGTTGCGTTGCAACAGCACATGGATATGAAGCGGCGGGCGTGTCAGTCGGCTCCACAACTCGCCCCACCACCCCCCACTGAGCTTCACTTCTCCTTTCTTTTCTCGCCTCTTGCCCCGCCAGGCTGACCCCAGTGAGGTGGACCCCCATGCGCCGGTGGACCCGGGGGCGGTGAAGGTCAACCAGGCGGCACTCAAGCGACTGCAGGTGCGGGGAAGGGGGGAGGAGAGAGGGAGGGAGGATGAGGGAGGGAGGAAGGGAGGGAGGGAGGATGAGGGAGGAGGAAGGGAGGGAGACTCTCATCTGCCGCTCTGGAGCCCCCCCCCTTTCCTTCCCTTGTCTCCTTCCCGCATGCCTGCAGTGCTGCTTACCGTACCAAGCCGGGGCATGCGCCGCACCCTGAGCCCGCCCTGCCGTATTCGTCGAATCACATGCAGGGCACGGCTAGCGTCGCGGGTAACCAAACCCTCCACAACCTCACCCCACCCCACCCCCTGCCCACCTGCCTCCAGGCTGCCAAGGACTTCGCCACCTCGCGTCAGGCGGAGGTGCAGCGCGCCATGCGCAAGGCCCGGGGGGTGCCCCGCGGCGCCCTGGATCCGGAGCGGCCGCAGTGCGACTGCCCGGTGCCGGGGGAGCCGCCGGCGGAGGAGCAGGAGGACTGGGAGACGGGCTCGCTGGCGTCCACCTACACGGGTGGGACAGGGGACATGGGTTGGGGAGGGGTTGTGGAGAGGAGGTTTGTGGGAAGGGGGGAGGGCGGCTAATGCAGCTGCGCGGCTTTGAGCAGCTGCATGTGTGCGCGCTCGGGAGGCGGATGACACGCGCCCACTTGCACCTGTACCTCTTCCGCAACCTGTTATACCTCTCGCACCCTCTGCCGCAACCCCTACGCAACCCCGTATCCCTATAAACTCCTACGCACCCTCCTCTTCCCCACCCCCTCCGCCACAGCCACCACGGGCATCACCGGCCGCACGCGCGACTACCCCGCCAGCACGCTGGGTGCGGGGTCGCAGTTCAGCAGCAGCAACCACCCCTTCAACGGCAGCGGCCGCAACCTGAGGTGGATTGGCAGGGTGGACTCGCTGGCCCGGTCGCTGAGGTCGGGGTGGGGAGGTGAGGCGGGGGCCGGAGGCGGGAGGGAGGGTGGGTGCGAAGGGGAGGGGGTGGGAGGAGGGCGGCTGGTTGGGTTGCGGGGTCTGTAGGCAAGGACGTTCACTTGAGGTTTGGGCTTAGGGGCCGGTCTAGGGGACAGCCGAAAGGGTGGAGGTGTGGTGCTGTGCGCAGCATTGGATCGTTGGCGTGCCTTCCCTAAGGAGAGCAGTGCTTGCCGGAGCTTTGCCTTTCCAAGCGATTACCGGTACACGTCCTCACACACGCCCTCTTGCCTCTCTCTGTCCTCATCTGTTCTTCCCTCTTCGTCACGCAGGCACCAACAGCCCCTCCGCCGCCGGAGCGGGTGTGGGCACACAGACCGTATGGGAGCCGGAGAAGCTGGTGGGGGCAGGGACTGGGGTTGGGGAAAGAGGGCTGTGGGCGGGATTAACGCACAGCGGCACCGGGAAGCGCATCCTTCCTGTGGGCGGGATTTACGCACAGCGGCACTGGAGAGATGAGTGACGTGGGCAGGCGTCCTAGCTACGTCCCTAGACATGTACACGCATGGCTACGTCATACCCCCTGTGTAATGCAGTGGCATGCAATGCCGTGTAACACCGTAGTACCGGTAACACACCTCCCTCGGCGCCCCTCACCAACCTGTGCCCCTCACCCCACCCGCCCACCCGCACCTGCCCGCAGGAGGACCCCCTGCTCACTGCTGCCAAGGAGGCGGCGGCGGCGGAGGCGGCGGAGAACCGGCGGCGGCTGCTGCGCGGCAACGGCGGCAAGACGCGCGAGGAGGTGAGTGCGCGCGTTGGCATTCACAGGGTGAACGAGCCCTGACGCTGCCGCCGCCGCGGGTGTGCCTCGTGGGGCGCGGTACCGTGTGCGCCAGTAGCGGGGATGTGCGGGGCCCGCATATGCCCGCATGGTGGCATACGCCCGCATGGTGGCATGGCTGGCATTGGATTTGTAGAGGGAAGAGGGCCGGCCCCGTGGTGCGCTGCATGGGAGCGGAAGCCCTCCCACTGCCACCATAACCCAACCTTCTTCTTCACCCATCCCAACCCCCGCACCCACATCCTGCCGGCCAGATCCTGGAGGAGGCCCTCAACGCGGCGGACGCCGCCATCAAAGCCATTCAAAAGTACGCAGCCGACCCGCCAGACCTCTCCGCAGACCCCAACGCCGACCCCGACCGCCCTGGCACCCCCGGCGGCGCCACCAGCCCCCGCGAAGCCGCCTACCGCCGCGGGGCATGGACCGACCACTTCTCCGAAACCGGGGAGTTCCGCCGTACAGGCACCGGCACTGGAACCGGGGATGACGACGACAGCAGCAGCAACAACAAGCACCCGCTGGCGTACGACGCGGCGCCCATCCCGCGTGCGGCCACGCCTCGTGCCTCGCTGGGCACGGACGAGCCGGACGAGGCGGGCAAGAGGGATGCCGTGTGGCGGCAGCTGAGGAGCGGGATGAGCATGAAGCGGACGAGCTCGAAGAAGAAGACGACGGAGGAGCCGGAGGAGGATGCGATGCCGGGGGTGGAGGGAGCGAGGGGTTTGGTGGGGTACGGAATCGGCATGGGCGCGCTGGTGGATTATGAGACGGCAATGGCTCGCCGCCGGGCCATCGCGGAGGCGTCCGTGTCGCTCAATCGCGGTCGCTTCCTGACCGACTCCGAGATCAAACAGCTCTTCATCACCTTTTGCAACATGGAGTCGCGACCCGACCTGGTGCGGCTGCTAGACAATCACATCAATGCGCCGCTGTCGGCGGCGGCGCTGGCGGCAACAGCGACGATGCCGTTCGGTGCCAGCGGCGGCGCTCCGGCGGCGGTGAATTCCAGGACGGAGGCGCTGAAGCAGCGCATTCGGGGCACGGCGTGGCTTCTGGGGGTGAGTGATTGTTCGTGTCAAGGCAGGTTTTAGCACTGTTTGTTAAGAAAACTGGCCGCGAGTTAAAAACGTACACTGTTTGTGTGTGTTACCGGTATGACAGTGGAACGTATAATGTGGGGGAGCTGGAAAGGAGTGGTGGGTGAGCGGCGGATGCCAGGCGGCAGGCGCCCGTGGCCTCACCTCTGCTCTTCCTCCCTTACCCCTTCCCTTCCCCCCTCACTCCCGCGCACCCCCCTTCACAGGTGACCTGGCGCCGCATCACCAACGAGACCTACAACTCCTTCCTCTCGCGTGTGCTGGGCTACCCGTCTGAATTCGCCACCTCGCTGCCGCGCACCCGGTGTACTATGCTCATTGCGCGGGCGCTGGTGCAGGGTCACGACCCCACCGCGCCGCTCAAGGTCAGGCGGTGAGGGCCGACTCCCGGTTGAAGCGGTGGGAAGAATGGTGCTTGGGAGGGAGGTGTCGGGAGGGAGGGCTGGTTGTTTCGGGTGTTGGGGTATGCAGGGATGGAGGGAGGGAAAGGAGGAGGTGGGGTGAGGAAAGGGCGGCGGCCGCGCGGGGAAGGAGGATTGGCTGCGTAGGTGTTGTACCCGTTTGGGGCGTGTGGAATATGGCCATTGAAGGGAAGTTATGGCCTAGGAGGGCAGTTATTTTTAATATTGGTATGTCTCTGTAAGGCGCGCGCGTTTCGTGATAACGTCAAGGACACATGCATTGGGACTTGCATAGCGTTCGACTTATACATTGGAAAGGCTATTGATGCAACGCCCCGCCAGACGCAGACGTGCACTATAAAACCTTATGACGAATTACTACTGGTTGGATGCCTTGGCACGGCTACTGTGTTTGGGCGCGCAGGTTGACCTTGTTGTGGAAGGACGTGGGTTGGTGCAGGTGCTTGTGTTGTGTTGACGGGGCAGCCATGCAGGTGCAGAAGTGCTGTAGGGATGGGGGCATGGGAAAGCTGAAATGCCAGGGAGAGACGCGATCTTTTGTCGACTGAGGTCGTTGTTGCAGGTGAAAATATCGTACCACATGACATCATTAGCAGGCTTGGCTTGCAGGTGGGGAGCCGGGGAGGACACCGGGGCAGTGCCAGGTTGGAGCGTGTCTGGTTTGCGTCCATGATGGGACAACCTTGTGGGTGCAACTTCCAGCAGAATTGCTGCAACGCCTGAGCCGGTGTGTTTGTCCTTTTGTAAGTTATGCTGGAGGCCCTTTTTGGGCTTTATGGGATTGTGTCGTGCGATGAACTTCGGGGACGTTGGTTACTTATTTCGAAAGCAGTGTGTTGTAAACTGTTGTTGCCCTGTCGCACGTAGACATGTACGGCCTGCAAGACTTATTCGGGCTTCTTCGTAAGCACCTGCGGCCGGCCATGCATAAAAACTTTTCATTTTCGTGAGCTTTGCGCCCGTGGAATTGTGGTGGCGGTAGTTAAACCTGTGTGCTCATCCCCCATCTGGGTGCCGTACAGCTGTCGCAGTAGCGCACCCGTTCTTGAATGCAAAGATAGCCCTTGTTGAATGTACAGGCCGTAGGTCCTAGAGAGCTATGACTGCCTTTCTTGGGATGTTCGTCTTTCACGTGCTTCGCGCGAGCACGAAGCACATCTTGCCTATTGGCGCATTCCGCAAATATGGTAACCACTGCTTTTCCTGATGAAGGCTCTTCCAGAAGCAGCCAGCTTCGCCTTTGAACACAGCCGGTTCCTGGTGTGGGATCCATGGGTCAGCGCATAAGGTGCAGCTTTATGGGCCTGTTGTCCCTCATGCGTTGCATGGGCCCTCATTAACCTGAACTCTACAGGATGCTTATGTATGAGACCTGGGCTTTGCAATCTGCTAGCTGTGGACGCTGAGCTGCATTGAGGAACAAGTTTAATCAATTAGTTTTACATCAATCAATAACATGCATCGAACGATTACCATAAGAATTAATTACGTACGTCCCTCCTCCGCGCACAGCTAGACATGCTAGGCAACTAAAAGGGAAGGGTGGTGCATGCAGCGCCAAGACGAACAGAGTCAAGCCGAGTTAGGTTCTATATATACAAGGGACGCTGGACATTTAGCGGTAATCCTTTAGGTCGAGGTTGTCTAGTAGGACCACACATTGCGGCTAGTAGGATCACATAATGCAAGTAGGATCACAAAGACACGGTGAGACGAATAGGCCAAGGAGGTCAATAGCACAGACAAGCGGCCAGCTTCCTCAACACGCACCTCCCGAGGGTGCCAACACGTCTCTGATCGATACAACAGTTCACAACACACAACGTCCTCGAGTTCAACATAGACCTGCCTTGCATGACCTATAACCGTATTGGGGATGAAGGTCAAACACGGTCGCCCATCTACAAAATGGCCAAACCTATAACCATATTAAGTGGGTCAGGTGCTTGCATGTCCAATGCATTAAGCAGTCTTGCCATGCAAACAACTTGCTTGCTTGCGCTACCAATGACCGCCTGCCTGCTTGGCGCCCGCAGCCTAATGCCACGGCCCAACTGCCTCTAATCACGGCCTGCCATACAGCCAAGCAACAACTCCGCACCCCCCTCCCAACACCATTCGCAACACCCCCAAAAGGACCCGTCCACACGAGCAAAGCGCGCCTTCCAAACACATGCCAACCAGCCTCACAGCACAACAACCCGCGAGTCTTATGTACCTGAACACCGGATTGCCGGCTACAGTCCGCACAACCCGCAACACTCAGGCAAACACCCAAAGCCCGGACCCTTGCATTTGGCAAGGCCTGTCCGGGTGACAACAACCACGCGGTCCTTTGCCCCTCGTCCCACCTGCCACCTACACACCACTCGAAGCCACTCACCACTGCGACCCACGGGTCACCACTGCCTCACAGGAGCCACACAGCCCGCAGCCGCACTTCATCCCCGCAACGAGTTGGAGTAACACAACGAAACATAAGGGCCAGACTAAGTCGATACAACACATCACAAGTCACACACAGGTGTCACATGAAACGGGGGTCAACCTCAGAGCACGAAAATGGGTAAATAACACGCCATACGATTGTACGACAGGTTTAAGAGGATACATGGCACACGTTCTGACTTGCGTTTCACATCCTCCCGGAACTCAAGACCGCATCAAGCCGGCAGGCTTTGGGATGCCGCTGCGCACGCTCCCGACGCTGCTTGCAGCGCTGCTCGCGCGGCTACTGCCGCCGGCAGCGTTGTTACCGGCCCCTCCAGTGTAGCCGAAGCGCCCGAACGCGTTACGACCAACTGAGCCCCCAGCACCGCTGCCGTTGCTGGTAAACCTCCTCCCGCTCTGTCCGAGGTCGCCGTTGCTGCTGCCCATGCCGCCAAATGTGCTGCGACGCCCGTTGTTACTAACACCACTGCCACTCCTGAGCCCCTCCCGGAGCTGCGGCAACGGCTGCTGCTGCAACGCTGGCGACGACTGGCGAGCCAAACCCCGCATGGGAGCTCCCTCGCCGTCCTCTTCCTCCTCCTCCGACTGCTCGGGAAGAACGTCCTCCTGCGAGCTTGCAAGGCCGGGCTGGTAGCGGTGGTTGCGAGCTGGGCGTTGGGCCGCCGCGGCCGCGGACAACACGGCCGCGCCGCCGCCTGCCTCCATAGCCATGCGTGCCTGGCGGTACAACTCGTACTCCTGGTCCTCATCGTGCTCTGCCTCATAGTCATCCATGGAGGCTGAGACGGAGATGGAGGCAGTCGCGGAGACGCCGCCATTCAGATCAAGGTCCATGGCGGCGGTGCTGTTGGTCACGAAGAGCGGGTTGTGCAGCTTGACGCCGCGAGGGACCCGTGGGTCGCGAGGTGCGGTATTGGCTGAGTTGTGGGGCAGGATGGAGCCGCCGCCAGAGGGGCGAGAGGAGCTGTTGGCTGGAGCACCCGCAATGGATGGAGTGATGCTGGGCCTGCGGCATGCGGGGGGAGGGACAAAGAGCGCGGCGGATTAGTGTTGTACGAACATTAGGTTTGAAAGGATGTCAGAGCAAAGCACGCAACGAACCCGTAGCCTGAAGGTGACCGATGCATGCGATACCGCTACCGGTACCAGCCGCATGTAGCTGCAACTAACAAACAAAGCAAGCGACGACTGCCCCTAACCCCTCCTGCACCTACCCGCGACGCATCTGAGGCTGCTGCTGCACGCCCTCTGAGGGTTGGTGCTTGGCCTTGAGATAGGCCGCCGTGTACGACCCCGCTAGCCGAGCAGCTGGAGACGTGATGAAGGCACTGTCCAGGGAGCTGTTGTTGGATGGCGCTGCAGGGGCCGTCGGCGCAGCCGCCGCAGTGGCTGTAGCAGCAGCGGCGGAGGGGTCCACAGGTGCTGCGACTGGAGCTGCGGCTGCGCTGGAAGGCGTCGTCACCGGGCCGGTGGGTATGCGGCGCGGCGTGGCACGTACGGCGCCAGGGGTCGGGGTCTGCCGTACAGGGTTCTGGGAGCCGGACGGGGTGGCGGTGACGGCCGGCGAGTGAGCGTCCGCGACCCGTGGCGGTGTAAAGCTCAAAACCTTGGCGGAGGACGGTGCAGCCGGGATGCGGCTGAAGCCGGGTCGGTGGTACGGCAGGGAGGAGGTGGGGGTGGAGGATGCCGGCGGCGGAGGAATGCGGTGACCCTGTCCTGCTGTGGCGGGTGTCGCACGGGGCGTGCGACCAGCGGTCGTGGTTGGCGTCGCAGAGCGCGGCGGCGGCAGGGGCAGTGGCGGAGGAGACGGCGTTTGGTACGGAGTACGGCGAGTGACGCTGCCGCCATCGGAGCTGCAGCGCAGGGGCAGCATGGCCCTGCCCCTGGAGGCCGGGGCGCCCCAGGTTACCGGGGAGGAATCCCCAGGCGTGGATAGCCGCCGCTTGGGAGGTGATGCCTTGGGGGACTGCTTACGTGATGGCGGCGAGGACTGGTTGAGCGAAACCCTGCGAGTCGGCGACGTCTTGGAAGGTGATGCCCGTTGGGAGGGCGAGGACTTGGTGGCTTGGGCCTCCTGCTGCGTTCGCGGCGGTGAGGAGGTGAGCGAGCCAGGGGAGCGCTTGCCAAAAGGGCGCCGGCGCTGAACCGGGCTGGGCCCGGCGGCGGCCTGGTGGGAGTGCCAGGGGGAGTTGCCGCGGCTAGGACCGGAGCTGGCGCTGGCGCTGGGGCTGCAGACGTGGGATGCGAGCGCTGCGGTGCAGGCGGCGCCCGCGTCGTCAGCAGGGCTGTCGTCGACTGGCGCGCATGCCGCCGCCGAGTGTGCCATGCCCGCCGCTGCCGCTACTGCCCATGAGACTTCGGGAGCGGAAGCTGTGGCGGGCTGCAGCAGGGGAGCCGCCACGCAGCTGCCTGGCTCTAGACCCAGAGATGCAGCAGGGAGCAGGTCTGTGATTTGAGGTGGGTCCGCGGGCTCCGCCGCCGGAGTCATGGGCGCTTCGTCGTCAGCAGAGGTGTTGTCGCCGGCGCTGCCGTCAGCAGCAGCCGGACAGGCAGCAGCTCCGAGCTCCTCCACCTCCGCCGCCGTTTCCTGCTCATCATAACCACCAGCAGGCAAAGGCAGGCCACCCTCCATGCTGGCCTCCTGCTCAAGCTCCGCTGAGGCGTTGCCTCCACTCAGGCTCCGCTCGCATGCGGCGCTCTCCTCCTCCTCCTCAGGGATCGTAGCCTCGCAAGGCACAGCTCCGTGCACCTCCTCAACCGTCAGCAGCACGAGCTCACTGCTGATGACGTCACTGCCCTCAGCGTCGCCGCCGTGCGGGCAAGCAACGTGTAAACTGCCAGGCACGACTGCAACAGCCGCCGCCCCGCAATGCCGCGCCCAGCTCGGTGCAGCTTCCTCGCTCGCCTGCTCGTGCCAGGCGCCGACGACGGCGTTGGTCGCACCGGCGTCATTGCCTGCGCTGCCGTCACAACAGTCGGCGGCAGCTTCGCAATGCGCCTGCACCTCCTCATCAGCCCCATCAGCGGCCACCTCGTCGCGTGCCTTAGCCAGCTGCTCATCTGCCTTCTCCTCCGTGCTGACGGCGAGCGGCGCCTGGACGACGCATCCGTCATGCTGTCCAACTGCGACGCCATTGCCTGCGCTGCTGTCGTTACCTGAAGCAGCTTCGCAATGCGTCTCCGCTTCCACCCCCTGCTCTTCATCTGCCTCCCAGAAGCTAACCTCCCTGGCCCCACAGGAGGTGTAGCCCAGGCTGCCGCCGTCTGTGGCGGCAACCTCTCCCCATAGCTCGGCGTCCCGCTCCTCCGCAGCCTCGCCACCTGGGCTACCCTCGCAAGCGCTGGAGCCACAATCCGCAGCTCCCGACTCGACACCCTCAGCCGCCCCCTCCTGCTCCGGCTCCAACAGCACCTCATCGTTCTCCTCATACACGGAAGCCAGCGCTGCACTGCTGTGGCCATCCTCCTCCTCCTCGCTGCGTCCTGAAGCGCTGCCCAGCGGGCTACTGCGGTTGCCCGAAGCGCTGCTGCCTGAGGGGCTGTGGTGGCTATCAACGCATCCTCCCTGAAGAGCCCCATAGTACTCAGCAACCTCGCCTTGCAGCCCAGCAGCATCCATCGGCGCAACCTCATCCTCGCTGACCTCCAGCGGCACGTCCGAACTCATGACGCCGCTCTCAGCGTCGTCGCCGTACCCCCCAAACCTGCATGCGCTGCTGCCGCCGTGGTACATGGCGGCGTCGCAAGGCGAGTGCGCACCGCCCGCCGACGAGGATACCAGAGCGGATTCATCCTCGCTGCTAACCTCAAGCGGGATGTCCGGAGTGGCAGGCAGCTCGCTCCCGGCGCCATGAGCTGGGCTGGCGTTGCCGAAGCTGACGTCGTCCGCATCTTGCGTTTCTGAATGCAAGCCAGCCTCCAGGGCGGATGCATGCTCACTACACAGATGGTCGCCAGCCAATGCGGGCGTGGACATCGCCTCTTCCGACGCGGCTGTTGACGGAGTCGCCTCGTCAGCGTAGGGCTCCGCAACCGGTGTTGTTGCTACTGCTGCGTCGTCGGACCTGCCGGCTTCCGCCTCCTCCGCTGACTCCGGCGCTTCTGGTGAAGCATGGTATGCTGCCGAGGGCTCAACTGCTACTGCTGGCTCGGCCTGCAAATCGCCCATGTCCGCCATGGAAGGCGTATTTACCTCAATCGCCGCATCTGCGCTGTCCGCCATCGCATCGCTGTCCGCCGTGGTGTCTGCTTTCCTGGGGTAGGTGCAGTTGAAGTCTAGCTCGCGTGGGCCGACTGGCGACTCGGGCGCCTCGCCGGCGGCGGGGCATGATGCGGGCATGGTCGCACGGATTGACAGCGCACGGGGGACAAAGTCGGTGCTGCACTCATGGGGTACCTCGCGTTCAGTTGCAGCGGCCGCATCCGGCCCCACCTGCGCATTAAACACGCGGTTGAGGTGAGCTAGCGCTCCCTCTTCATGCGTCGGCGGCGGCGCATGCGGCGAGAAGCAGAAGCGCGCCGGCCGTACGAATGGCGTCTCCGCATCATCGGCTTCGCTGGCAGCAGCGGAGTCCGTGGTGACGACATTCTCGGCAGAAGCGGTGACAGTGGCGGTCGCGGCAGGACGGATGCCGCCGCCAGCGGAGAAGCTGCAGTTAAGGCTGACGGCCGCTGCAGCGGTTGTGGACACAGCGACCAGGTTGCCCATAGGCGGAGGTGGCAATCGTACATCGGGACTGAACGCCAGAGGGCTGCCTGACCCAGGGTCGGAGGGCTGCGGGCTGGTTGGGGATAGGGGCGAAACGGGGGTCATGGAAGGACCTGGGACCAAGGGCGTCGTGGCAGCCGGAACTTGCATGGAAGCCGAGGCCACCGAGGTCTCTGCAGGCTGCTGGCCCGGCTCAGCGGTGCTGCTGGCGGTGGGCACAGCGGCGTCGGCGGAAGGAGAGACGACGTGGGGGGCGTCGGGCTGCTGCTGGGTGGGCGACACGGGCAGGTTGCTGCCAGCAGCAGGGCTGTGTGCTGGGGAGCTCGAACCGGGTTCGGAGGTAGCGTCGCAGGAGGCATCCAACACTTCATACGCGTCAAGCTCAGCCTGGGCGGGGAACTCCTCCGGCATTGCCGCTGCTAAGGCCTCAGCTGGCATCGCCTCCTCATCTGCCATCTGCCCGCCTGCCGTTGCCTCCTCAGCTGGCATATACTCAGATGCCGTCGCCCCCTCATCTGCCATCTCCTCAGCTGCCGTCGCCTGAGCTGCGATTATTTCTTCAGCGGGCATCGCCTCTTCCACTGCCTCCAAAACCTCCTCCGTTGGCATCGCCTCTTCAGACACCACCACATCCTCCTCAGTTGGCGCCGTCTCCTCAGCTATTATCACCTCAACCGGCGTCGTCTCCTCAGCTGGCGTCTCCTCTTGAGCTGCCACCACGTCAACCGGCGTCTCCTCAGCTGGCGTCATCTCCTCAGTTACCAACACCTCAAACGGCGTCTCCTCAGCTGGCATCGCCTGCTCAACGGACAGCGGCTGCTGCTCCTCGCCCTCCTCCTCCAAGCCCTCAGCCAGTTCACTTGCAACCTCCATCTCCACCTCCACCAACACGGCCTCGGCCTCCTCTGCCGCTGCTTCCACGGATCCCGCAGAAACTGCTGGCGTCAAGTCAGAGGGCACCAGCTCCTGTGTCGCCAACAGCTCATCGGTTGCCGGTGTCGATGATACGATCGCCAACAGGTCCAGTGGCACAGCCACCGCTACGGGATCCGAGTCCGATACAGCCTCCTCCGAAAGCGGCAGCGGGGACTCGGCACTCACAGCTTCCTCCGTGGCCGGGACCTCCGCCGTCGCCGGGGCTTCCTCTGTGGCCGGCATCTCCCCTGCAACCGGGACGTCCTCGGTCGCCGGGGTTTCCTCTGCAAGCGGGGCTTCCTCCGTCACCAGGGCTTCCTCCGCTGCCGGGATGTCCTCTCCGTCCGCCGGAGACGATGCTGCAGCCTCCGTCGCTGGCGCAGCTGCCTCAGCCGTCTCCTGCACTGCTGCTACCGTTCCTGCCATCGCCGCCGCCAACGTTGCTTGCCATGTCGCCGGCGACTCCGTCTGCGTGGACGCCTCCGCCAGCATCGTCGCCTTCGCTGCAGCCACAGCCCCTGCTAGCTCCTCAGCCGTTGTCGTACACGCCTTTGCGGCTCCAGACTCTGTCGGCGTCGCTCCCGACTCCATCGGTGTCACCGCCTCAGTCGACGTCGCCGTCTCCGCTGGCGTTACCACTTCCGTTGACGATGTCACCGCCGTTGGCAGCACCACAGCCAGGGATCCCGGCGCCTCCTCAACCACCTCCGCCACAGCTATCGCCACAACCTTTGGCGACGTGACTGACTCGTCGCCTGGCGATACCACCACCGCCTTCGCGACAAGGTCCGCCACCAGCGACCCCACCACCTGAGGCTCATCCTCCACATCATCTTCCTCCTCTGCCAGCATGCCGGCGACGCCGCCGAAGAAGCTGCCGTTGCCTGACGCAAGGATTTCGGCCAGGGATCGCTCACCCGAGGGCAGCCTCTCACTCGACGTGAACCGCTCGGTAGAGGAGAGCCGCTCGATCGAAGGCAATCGTTCAGTCGAGGGCATCCTGCTCACGGGCAGGAGCTCTTGGACCAGACCCGCATCCCAGGACGCCGACAGCGCCTCACCAGCGGCACCGGCGTCAGTGTCGGCGTCGGGGAGAACCGACGCGGCATCCACAAACTGCGATTGAACCTCCTCATCCTCCGCGTCCGCCTGCGCTCTCGCAACCGTCTCAAGCTGCTCCTCCTCCGCAACCACAGCAGCTGCCACCACCGCCGGCAAGGCCTGCTGCTCAAGCGGCTCCTCGGCAGGCTGATCCACGACAGGATCCTGCTGTGGCGGTAGGACCTCGGACCCCTGGGCATCTTCAAGCAGCGTTAGCGGCTCCTCGCTCTCCTCCTGAGCTGACTGTAAATCCTCCTCTTCCGCCGCCTCATCCTCCTTAGCCGGCTCCCGGAGTACGGTGACGGCCTCAGCCAGAATCACCGTGTCGGCCTCTCCTGATAGGCTTTGCAGCTGCTGGCGCTCGTCGGCCACCTCCTCATCCGCCTCCTTAGCGGGCTCAGCGGAATGACGCTGCTGCTGGTCCTCAGCCATCGCCCCACCATCCAGCCCAGCAGCCACAGCCACCGCCGAAGCAGTCGCCATGTTCGCAAAGGGCGACGTAGGCGAGGCCGAGGCCGCGCTGCTGCTCTGGTCAGCTGGAGTTTCGGCGTTCGGACTGGACGGCTCCGGCTGCAGCCGCGGGGAAGACTTAAATGACACTTCCGGTCCCATACTGCAGGGCATGCTGTCCACGGGCGCGAGGGGCGGCGGTTGAGGCACATGTTGTACGGCAACACTAGCTGCGGCAGTAGTGCTGGCAACGCGCTCTCCGCCACTGCCGACCTCGGATACGGCAGCCTCCTCGCTCCCAGCCTGCGACTCAGCCTTCGCCGCAGCTGCTGCTGACGTGGCGGTTGTTGAGGCTGTGGCCGTTGAAGACGCCGACTTGGATGCAGCTCGTGAGCCACGGGAGGCCTGCGAGGGGTGCTGCGAGGCCTGCTGCTGCTCCTGGGCGTCTTGCTGCTGCTGGCTACCGGTATCGCCGCCAAAGGGCAGCAGCACCACCAGCAACGGCGAGGGCTCTAGCGTGGAAGACGCGCCCTTGGACGCGCCTCCAGAACCGCCAGGAGAGGGAGGCGCGGAGTCCGGCAGCGGCACACGCACCAGCGGAGAGCGCTCCAGCAGCGGAGTTCCCTCCTCGCGAGCGCCTCCGACTGACACGGACACCTCCGAAGCTGCGGCGCTGCGCTCCTGATCCGTCAGCCATTCCATCTCAGGCCGCGGAATTCCGGGCACCATGATGGTGGTTGAGGTGGTGTGGTTTGCGAGCTGCTCCCGTACCAGGGCTTCTGTGGGCGGCGGTCGGATGTCCGGCACGCTGCCCAGGGCACCGCTGTCGCTGCCGGACGCGGCGGCGGCGGCTGCGTCGTACACGCGGATGGCATGGGCGTGCAGGGCGACGGCCGCCGCTGCGTCGTGGCGGTGTTGTAGCCGCAGGGCTGTGGCTACTAGGTCCAAGCACTCGGACACCTGAGGCGTGCCGTCCCCAAGCACTTCCAGCACAATCCCCAGCGCCACCAATCCGCAGCAGAGCGCCTCATCTGGACGGTCAAGGCGGCACAGCACCGACCCACGGGCCACCTCCACCTCCGCCACATCCAGGTTGAACTTGCCCTGCGTGCATGCATACAGTACAAGTCGTATCATCAAGCAGCGCAGCAGGGACATGCACCAGCGCGTGGTGTAGGCTAAATGATAACGCCCACATGCCGAACCACGCACTTGCTCAAAACACTTGACCCGGCGGAGCACCCTTCCAAACAACACCCTAGTTCTTCGCCTCCTCCTCACCTGGGAGAGCTGCTGCACGTACAAGCAGTCCTGCAGCAAAATGGCAATGGGCCGCCGCCGGAAGGTCACGGCACCTGCACCCGCCGCGCCACTAGCGCCTGCGAACTTCGCCTTGCGCCGGCCGAACCTAGAGATGCTCCCCGCGTCCCGTTCCGAAACCCCGTCCACAGCGGAGCCATCCGCGGAGGAGGAGCTGGAGAGGGCTGTCGTACTCAGGAAGTCCGGGCTGCAGCGCGCCGCCGCGAGCATGGCACGGCCGACGCGGAAATGGCTTTGTCCGTACAGCTGAGTCAGCATGTTGGTTGCAATCTCGTACTGCATGACAGCCTCCGTCTTGGGGCGGCCCAGTCTCAAGCTGAGGTCGCCTAGCTGCATGTGGGCCTGCGTGGCCTCCAGGGACTGCGATTGGCCGGTTGCTGTCAGACAGTCCAGGAACAGCGTGAGGAAGCGTACGGCAGTGCCGTACTGCCGAGCTGCTGATGCAACCTCCGCATGCGCCAGGGCCAGCTGCGCCGCCTGCAAAAGTGGGATTGGAGGGCAGGAGGGGCGTACGGATGGGGCAAAGGCAACAATACTTCAAACCGCCATGCATTAAACCCTGAACCCAATCATTTTCCCGTCCCAGGGCCCTACCTGTGGGGGCAGCTTGGACAGGCTCGCCGCCCGCTTTACCGCGTTGCCACTTGCTCCTCCAGCGCCGCCTCCGCTGCCGCGCTGCTTCCTGCCAAACTTCAGCTGCACCTGCTTTTGCGCCTGCACTTGCGGCTGCTGCTTCTCCGCCTGCTGCTTTCCCGCTGCCAGTTGACGTACTTTCGACCGTGGCGTGGTCTCCACCGCTGCACCCGCTCGCTGAGCGCCCGCCACCACCACACCTCTACTCCTCGGCGTCACGGTGGCCCCCATCGCCGGTGTCCTCGGCGTTCGCGGGGTGCGCGGCGTCTGCGGCGCACCGTACTGCGCCGCCTCCAGGGCCGCCGCTAGCGCGGGGTACAGCTGCTGCGCCAGCGCATCAGCGGCGCTAAGCTGGTGTACGGCGCGTTGGAGGGACATGAGGTGCACGTGCGCGCGTGAGGTAGCGACGTGGTTAGCTAGGCGGTCTTGCAGGGAGGGCAGCGCGGGGACCATGAGGGCGAGGTCGCTGGCGGCGCGGGTCAGCTGGCCGGGTAGCAGGATGTGGCGGCAGACGCCGTTGAGGTGGCGAGCCATGGCTGGGGGGAGGCGTGGAAACAGGGTGAGAGGTGAGGAAGGCATTGAGATACGGGATACACAGGGGGTTAAAACCGGCAAGGAAGGCGCAGCTGTCAGCAACGTCACAGGAAAGAAAACAGGTGAGGAGGTCCCGGTTCATACCTGCGGCGAAGAGTGCGGCGGTGGCGCTAGATGGCCCCGCGCGGCGCAACCATGCGGGCAGCAGCAGCAGCGCTCGGTCCGCCAGCGTGCGGCTGTTGTTGTAGAGGCGCAGCGCGGAGATGCGGCAGCCGCTGGCGTACAGGTTGCCAACCTGTCATACGGGAGCGCGGACCAGCAGCGAGAAGGTGTTAGAAAGGCATACAACGGGGCCGTTTACAGGTATGCGAGGAGTTGAGAAAGGGTAGCGCAGGGAACGCGACTCGCTAGCATGCAGTGCTTGCGGTGTCTTTGCTGCTTGCACGGAACACTCCTCACATACCTGAGTCAGCAGCTCGTCCAGATACTCCACCAGGGAGCGCAACCGAATGCCCGTCTCCCTGCGACAGCGAGACGACATAATGTTAAAGTCAAGTGGCACTGCGAATGAGGACCTCCATTCAGCGCGACACCGCATGCATCGCTGCAGAAACACTCTTCGCCATGGTGTCACTCGGCTAGCCCTCAAGAACTTACTTTGAGGTCATGCTGTTGTACGCCTTATCCACGCGACCACCCGTTGAGCCAGTCGAGGCGCCCGACACGCCATTACCACCACCACTCGTGGAGCCCGTGCGTCCAAACGAGTGCCCGCTGCCGCCCGAGTTGGTTGGGCTGCGGCTGCCCTTGCCCGCACCACTGCCGCCGCCTCCAGCTGAAGTACCATGCACGACAGGCGCAATCAGCGGCGGGCTGCTGCGCAGCAGCCAGCAGCGCACGTGGCCAATAACTTCGTGCCGCTGACCCAGGTCCTGTGGACAGACATGAACCCCAGGGTAGCAGGTGCAACATGGTCAACATTTGACGGGTAAACGAGGCGACCAACAGATACACATTCCACAGTTCTAGCCAAGGAGGCCAGCCCCAGCAAGCCACGTAACCCTATTGCCCCCAAAGCCCCCTCACCTGGAAGCACAGCAGGCCTCTGTCGTACAGGCAGCACAGCCCCGCCCGCACCAGCCCCGGGTGGCCCAGGAAGGCCGCCGCCGCCAGCACGTCCTCCTCACACAGCGCGCAGCCCAGCGAGGCAAGACAGCACAGCACGGCGCGCGCGTCGTTGGGCAGGCAGGCGACGCTATGGGACACTAAGTGCGCGGCAAAGGCAGCCAGGGCTGCCTGCGTGGGTAGGCAAGGGCGAGGCAAACGAAGCCGCTGAGTTTCTAGGGGAGGCATGGGGAGGCATGCGGACGCATAGTGAAGTGCACCGGCTGTTTAGGAAAGGTAGGAAAGGATGGTGCTTACCTCGGGTGTATCCGCTGCGTTGCCTCGCCGCAGAGCCTCCGCTGCTGCCTCCGCTAGCATGACAAAGTCCACGGTACCGCAGCGCACACCCGCTCCCGCCAGCCGCAGCAGCCCCGGCAGATGGTCGCAGGCCTTGGAGATGACCTTGAGCTGCGCGTCCCGCAGGGCCTCATCGGCTGCCAGCTCCATGATGCTGTTGTTCTTAGTGGCGGGTTGGTTGTGGTGACTGAGGTTGGCTGATGAGATGGTGTTGTGCAGCAGCTGGCGGGAGGCCTCAGGGGACAGGTGCTCCACGGAAAAGAAGCGGACGGAGAGACCCTGCAAGCAGCCGGGACAATATTTGTTGAAGCATGGACTGAAGCAAGGTCATTGTGATATCGCATGTTACGGGGCGCGGAGAAGGGCATAACACGCAGCAGAGGACTGAGTTAATCAACCGTCACAGCACTTGGCACCTCTCCTATCTTGTAAGCTGCTGTTCACTCACATGGGGCATTGCCGCCTGCAGGATCTCCCGTGTGGCAGCAGGCCCTGAAACCAGCACCAACCGCAGGCCTGGAGCAGCAGCTGCCACGTCACGTAGCAGCCGTAGGATGCGACGTCGCCGGTCTTCCGCGACGGCGTCTGCACTTAGGCGCGGCGTGTTGCGGTGCCACGAGCGGTGCGAGATGGGGCCATGGGAGTGGCCGTAGCGGTACAAGGTGCCCGTACCGCCCATGGAAGAGTTGCCGCCGCCAGCGGAAGCATACGAGTAGCCACCGATGGACGTTGTGCCGCCGCCCGACGGGGAGGGGCTGACGGTGGAGCGAGGTGTTGCGGGGAAGGCCGGACCAACGCGAGCAGCCTGCACAGGGACAAGAGCGAAACAGGACAATGTAAGTTCACGTGCGCATGTCCTCCGCTCTCGCTGAGGCAAACCAAGCTAGCATGACAACGACTCAGTTTCGTCACATCCCATGGGCCCACCCACCTCCATCGCCTCATCCTTGCCCATTCCAAGCAGCATGTCCACATTATCCAAGACCAATCCCTGCTTCAGCCGCGACCCATGGGTCCGCAGCCACGACAGCAGCCGTGCCCCAGCCGCCCGGTCGGCCGCGTAAAAGGGCACATTCAGCGCCAGCGACATTGCCAGTGCGGCCTCCTCTGCGCCCGCTAGACAGCGCACGTCAGCAAAGGCAACGCAGGTCCATGCACCACTGGATACAAGCCGATCTGCCGCCGCGGTAACAAGCGCCGTCTTGCCGCAACCGCGTGGGCCAGACACCAACAGCACAGCCGGTGGGGGCGGCTGCGGTGCAGTCGCACTGGCAGCCGCGACGGCCGCCGCTGCGGCCTGCGACTTCGCGGCAGCAACCGCCGCCGCAGCACTTGTGGACGTCCTGACGGGCTTATCACGGGAAGAACGCATCCGCCTCGAGGGGCCGCCAGTAACGGGGTTGCCAAGGATGGCGTCGATCAGGCGCTTCAAGTCCTCATCCCGCCCAACCAGCCGCGACAGGCCAGACTCCATGGAGCCAACGGAGGGTGACGCCAGCTCCGAAGCCAGCTCACGCCCACCAAAGCTGAGCCTCCTGGGCCGAATTCGGGCGTCGTCAACAGGAGGTGCTGCAGCCTGAGCAGCAGCAGCTGCAACAGGTGGTGTTGGAATTGCTGCGGCAGCTGTGCAGGTGTTGTTGGCGGGTGTTGGCGCAGCCCGAGGAGCGGAGACGCGCGCCGCGGGGTCTCGTTCTGCAGGCCTGAAGCTGGCGGTTGGGGTCTCTCGCCGGCTGCTGAAGGCGGCGATGGATGGGGTGAGCCCGGTGGTCCAAGGTGTCATGTTGGCGCGGTCGGCTGGGGTTGCGGTGGGTTGACTAGGCGGCGCGCGGCGACCTGCAAATCCGATGGAACAAGGGATTGAACCTTAATATTTAAGAAAAGCCACTAGGAACGGTAGGAACGTCGAACGGCGGACACTCCAGTCGTCTGGATACAAGACACACGCAATCATGTCGCAGAGCAGTAGCCCATTCGGTCAATGCGCAGACCCCGGCATCCTTACCAGCAGACGACATGCTGCCGTCCTCGGTGGCCGCCCCTACGGACACGTAGTTCTCGCTTCTGGGGAGGGAGACGAGATGACGGGAGGGGTCAGTAAGGGGCAGACTAAGAGGTCCAGCGAAGATGGATGGTTTGCATGCCAGGTTGCGGGGGGCCACGTCCTAAGAAAACCCTAGCAACAGTTTCCTTACCCGCTAAAGCTGCTCCCCGCATCAAACCACTCGTCATCTATTTCCGCCTCATCATCCTCGTCTTCACCAGCAGCGGTGACTGCCGCCGCCTGCCTAGCAGCCGCAGCTGCTGCCGCCTCATGTGCCCAGCCCTCTGCCCGCGCGCCCTTGCTGGTGCGCGCCAGCAGGATGGTACGGTCGCTAGACACCAGCAGGCGGAGTTGCTCGTCCAGTGTCGTACAGCCACCGCCAGTTCCGGAGCCAAACGCCATGTCAAGCTCGGCTGCGTTGACGTAGTTGGCATAGCCCATGCGGTGGACGGCAGCTTGTAGGACACGGACCAGCTCGGGAGACTGCGACAGGACAACGGCAACAGCGTCGGGTCAGTCATGGGCATAGTAACAAATATTGCGGGAAGATAGACCGAACAAAGACTAGTGTAACGATGACCTATCCTAGCCCGCAAGCAACCCAGAAGAAAGCCCACCTGCAGCACTTCAAGTGCGAGCTGCGTGTTCCCGGCGCCGTCCGACAGGCGCGGCGAGTTGGCGAGGAAGGTGGCGAGGTGTGGCCAGAGCGTGCTCCAGGGAACCTCCTCCAGACCCGCCATATGACGCCACCAGAACAGCTGCAAGGATGAGGCAAGGAAAGTGACGCGTCGGTGAAGAGGCCACGACCCTAGGAGTGGGCAGTAGGTAAACTCGCATGCACAAACCTAGGCAGTCCTGTCTAGTCATGGAGCTGGCTACTGCGCCGTTCGCAGAACAACGCACTTGTTGAGCCTACCTGAAGGTCTGGATGCCGCAGAGCTCGGTGGGGCCCAACCGACATGGAGGCCACGGCAATCTGCGGAGAAGAGGAAGGTAAGTATCGACATGACCCACGAGCCCTTGAGCGCGGACACCGCCATTGAGGACCGCTTCACTCGCGCCTCCTACCTAATCCAAGCCACAACCCGCAGCACCCGACCCACCTGCACCTCCTCCTCGAGCTCAAGTTGCCGCAAGTCCTCATCACCGCCCTGGATGGGGGACGGGGAGTGGAAATGCCCTCGGTTAGAGCGAGAGGAACGAGGCAAAACCAAACATACGGCAGCCACCCTGCCTCCGGAGCGAGCACCTCCGGTTGAGCGAGTCAGCAAACCCCACACGTACCTGCACCATAGGCTTGATGCGCCGCAGAAACGTCTCCATCGCCGTCGGATCGCCCGCGCCACCATGCGGCGCCAGGACCAGACGCAGTTGGCTGGCCACCGCCTCCTGCAGCCGCCTCGCGCTGCGCAACCCCGCCGCCACCTGCTTCAGCCCCTCGTTGCGCAACTCCTCTAGCGCAGCCAGGCCGGCGCCAGAGGGCTCGGCGCCAGGATAGGGCGGCGTCGCGAGCTCGATGAGCAGGTCGGCTACATCGTCCAGACGCCATTTTATGAGGGCGTCCAGGCGGGAGCTACGCAGGAGGCGCAGCAGCCAGCCCCTGCGGAGAGGAACACAGGAAGGGAGGGTGCGGATAGGCGGGCGAAGGTTGGGTAACATATGGGGTGCGCAAGCATGTGAGGCTGTGGTTGAGTTCCTTGGAATAGGTGGCTAAAAGGCAGGGTATGGGAATAGATGCATACCTGGAGGAGAAGTTGGCGAGTAGCTCCTCCACCCCCCAGGCAACCTCACGTAGCCGGGCCAGCCGAGCAGAGGCTTGCGAGCTGTAGGGCGGAGCGATAAGGGCAGAGCGGGCATCCATGTTGCTTTCGTCGGTTCTTAGGCTTGATGCCCGGGAGAGCGATAGTCGATGTAAAGGTCTTCAGACCGTGCTTGCGGTGTAACGGGGCCCCACAACACATCCCCACACCCCAACCATGACCCCACAGGTAAAGGGTATTGATGATAATGCCTTTAAGTGTCTGCCAGATTCCCTTTCCCTGTCTTGCATCCACTGCTGATACACCCTCGGACCTGGTGGCGTGCTCCGACAGAGCAAGCTTTGCAGCCCGAGTTAGGGCTGCAAAGACGTGCTGACATATCTGCGTGCCAAATCGCGCCTCTAACGAAAGGTCGTATAATGGACGTAATAGGTCGTCGACGGCTTGCTCTTCCGGGCTCAACGGCTCATCCTTGTTGTGAAGGGTAAATTTGGTTGCCTGCGCATTGTCAAAGTTCGTTGCTGCAGGTCAAACTATGAGCATAATTGAACCCAAGTTTAAATGCTTACCTTTCGACGAGTCCTGGGGACTAGGCAGAAGATGTGGGACAAAGCTGCGAGGTAACGTCGGGGGGAGTAGCGATTAGACGAACAGGGGGTACTCGTCCGTAACTCCGCTGAGCAAAGCTTACCACCATCATCATAGGGCTTTCCAACGCACTGTCCCATTCCCAAGGGAGCAGGCGATGCAGCGGGTTAACTAACCCCCCCGTCACAGCCCTGTCGCGGTGCCCCGCTTGCTGTTTATCAGTAATTGTCGCTGTGTTACCATGTTAACTGCTTGGTTATAATGCGTATTTGGATTGCTTGATGGCGCAAACACAAAAAATCATTGTTTGAAACAGCTGTAGGCAAAAAAACGAGCGGTCCCACTAAATGTGTCTGACGTCAACGGTGCAAACTTTACAGCTGTGCTAGAAATGTTTGGGCGTTACTGCGTAGCTGTGAGCTTTAGAGTCAAACGACAATCCGTACGACAGGTAGCTCTGAGTCGTTACAACCATTTCATGGAACTGTCCTTTCGCTTCGTGTTGCTTCGCTATCCGTATTCTCCCTCTATCCGTTTATGGTTTGATATCTCTTTCATGTTGCTTAGACATTTGCCGGTGGTATAGTCGAAGCTCACGAGTGAATCAGACTGTTACATTTGCAGCATGGTCTCTTATCTGAAACGAGTTATGTAAATTATGGACTGCTGTCCTTTGACGATATGGACCTTGGATACATGTGCCGACGTATCCTTAAGCATGCTAGGGCAAGAGTAAATCCCGTATTTTGTTGGGAGAAACACTCTACCAGCTTCACCGATGACGCTGTCTCAGTCGGGTGTCGTCGAAGGGTCGCTGCCATTACGGCAACCAGGGCAGCTGGAGCCTGGGAGTAAGGACGGCTCTAGCCAGGAGGCTGGTATGACGGAGGACAGCACTGAGCCATCAGGGCAACGGTCGAACAGCGGCGCTACGACACAGGTGGGAACGCGGCCGTTGTCCTGCCGCTAGCCGCTTTGCCCCTATAGGAACGTCGGATGATCTCGTGCCAAGGGCGTTGCCTTCCATATGTGGCCTCGCAACCGTCCAACACACAGCATGCATAGCTCGGACCGTTGTGTAGTAAGGGGAGCACATGGTACACAAAAGCTTAGGCCACAACCTCGTCTATAGGCCCACCCCAACATGCCAGCAATCTCTAAGTGGCATGCCCCCACGGTAACAGCGCCCTACGCCTACACCCCCCCAACAATGCTTGCGCCCCTGCTCATCCCCGTACTCCCACTTGCCCCCATTTCCTGGCAACAACACTGACCTTCACCCGCTGCCCTAACCACCCCTCCCTCCTGCTCCGCCAGCCAACCGAAGCCGCGGCGGACCAGCACCAGCAGTCCCACCACGCAGCCAACCCCGGGCCAAAGCACACCTCCCCACGTAGGAGGCCCGCGCACCACGCAGCAGCCCCGGACGATGCGGAACCCGACCCAAATGGCACGCACACAGCACGTGCCGTCACCCCAGGCCGGCAGCCGCTGGCAGTGGGTCCTCCGGCGCACAGCAAGGTCCAGAAAGGCCGCATCATCGCCGCCGTCACCGCCGCTGCAGCCGCTAGCGCTGCCGCTGCCGTACCACTCGACTGGTCGTACCTGCTCGGCCATCCAGCGGCGTTGTCAGGGCCGCTGGGCGCTGCTGCCGCCGCGGTGGCGGCAGGCACGGCGGCGGCGGCGGGTACGGGCGGTGCGAAGAGTAAAGCCGGCAGTACGACAGCGGGTACGAGCAGCGGCGCCGACAACACCACCAGCGGAGCCGCCGGAGGCCAATCATCCGTACGACTTAGCGGGGGGCAGTCCTCGCTCCGCCAGACGAGCCAGTCGGGAAGCGGTGCGGGCAGTTTGCTGGGTGGTCTGTCGCGGCGCGCGAATGCGGCGGCGTCGACGCTGCCAGCAACGGCGGAGGGCAAGTTCTGCTCGGCTGTGATGGGTGTGATGGAGCGGCTGGCTGCGACGCAGTCGGCACAGACAGGGCGCTACCGTTCTCTTAGGATGCAGGTGGGATGATGTGGGGTGGGCCTCCATTCGTCGACAAAAACGATGCCAATGACAGGAGGAGCATCTTCCTGCCTGTTATACGCCTGTTGCTGGCCCTGGCGCTACTTCACCAACGCGCACGCCCCCCCCTCCTCGTCCTGATTGCTCCTAGCCATGGCATCCTACCCTTTCCCCCAACACCGCAAGAACCTTTGCCCATCCCCCTCTTCCTCATGTCATGTCGTACCTCCCCTCAGGCCGCGGAGCAGCGTGAGGCCATGCTGAGCACCGTGCTGATGCCGCCGCCGCCCACGGCCGGCGCCTTCAGCTCCCGAGAGGCCGCAGCGCGCATGGAGGCGGTGCTGCAGCGCAGCGGGGCCAGCAGGGACAACATGCAGGCCATTGTACAGCAGATCCAGCAGTTCCGCGGGTGAGCGGGCGGGCAGGGGGGGAAGGAGGAAAGGAAGGGGAAAAATAAATAAAAATTGGAGCAACGGAGTCCCAATCGGAAGGGGAAAGGGGTTGCTGTGCTGTAGTATTACTGCGAGTGGAGGTGGGGCACAGGAAGGGGAGAGTCCGATGGAAAGTGCAAACGCTGTAAGTCTCGGACTCGTGGGGCGGGACGGGGTTGAACGGGATTGACCATGGTCGAGCCTCAGATGGAAGCGGGCAGCTGCCAGGGTGCGTTTACTAGTGCTTTAGTCGCTACACGGAGGTGTGACGGCAGGGAAATACTGGCTGATTAACCTGCAAAATGACCATTACTGCAGGTTGAGTGACGACCTTCGAACCGCTGTGGCCCAGCAGTTCCACCTGTTCAGTTACCCGCCAGGGTCGTACTTGTACGAACAGGTACGTGAGGACAGAAGCCTCGCTTTCAGTTCACACCCACCTTGCTATTGTTTGATTGCAGCCACGGAGTCCTGCCAACATGCCTTCCACGTGCAACTGGTGGGGCTTTCCTGCATGTCATGTGCTCATGTCCCCTCCATCGCAACACCACCTCCATTGCACCTATGGCTCAGCTAGCCGTAGCCACCCTGGCATGTGTCCCTCCATCCTCGACTAACCTTGCTATCGGTTGGTACTGGCTGCTGCCTCGCCCTGTCGTACACCGCCACCCAGGACTGCCGCTGCGACGAGGCATTCGTCCTGATCAGCGGAGCCGCCATGCTGCATGTGGAAGGGCGACCGCCGCAGGTATGGCACCACGGGCCGGTTGCTTCGTTACTAGCCCGGCTAGTCCGCCCGTCCCTATCTTGCCCCGGCTACCAGTCATAATCTCATACAAGCTACCAGTGTGAAGGACGGCGGTTACTTCCTGCCCTACCATGGTGTCCTGCCTAATCACGGGCACCGCCTGTTGCCCCTTTCTCTTACGGTACCCCTTCTCTTCCCTCCCCTCCCACCCCTCTGCACTTATTTTGTTTTTCTCACCCCGCAGCGGCTGTACCCCGGCACGGTGCTGGGAGTGGAGCTGATGCTGCGGCGGCAGGCCGTGCCGCTCACCGTCACCACCGACCCGCACTTTGAGGCGCAGCTGGCGACGCTGTCGTGGCAGGCGTACGAAGACACGGTACGGCACTGGGCGGCGGAGAAGGTCACGGCGCTGCTGCCGGAGCTGCAGGTGCGGGCGGTGTGCTTGGGAGAGAAGCGCCGGGAAGAGGGGATGGGGAGCGCGAAGGAGGCGGGAAGGAAAGGGGTTAGGAGGGAAGAACACGAGCAAGCTGTGTGTGCACCTGCAGTACCGATAAACTGCAGGGAATCAAAACGACATTGTCCTTGACATGACATGAGGGGTGTAGCCATGTGCCCCGGCTTACCTTGCCCTGCTGACCTGTCCTCGCCCCGTCGCACGCTGTGTAGGCCAGCCAGGCGGCTAGGCTGCAGGCTGCCCTGATGCGCGGAGTGTCGTACAGCCAGCGGCAGCCGGGGGAGCCCATCTACGTGGGGGGGCAGGCGGCAGACCACGTGGCGCTGCTGGTGCAGGGGCAGGTGCGGTGGGGTGGGGTGTGGGACTGTGGGTGATGTCTGATAACCGGTCAAATGCACCGCGTGTAGGACCTGACGGCCCCTGTAAGGACTCCTAGACCGCATGCAACGGTAGAAGCGTAAAACCCATCGGACGGTTTTCGCTTGGCCAATCCAAGCGCTACCGCTGGCCCACGCCCGTGCCCTAGTTCTGTACGGTACCTCCCTCCACCTGAAATCCTGCCCCGCCGGCCGCCGCAGGTGCTCGTGGCCGCGCCGCTAGAGGACACCGACCTGGTCACCACTGGGCAGATGGTGTCGCAGCTCAAAACCCTGATGGGCCCCCTAGCTGGTTCCATGGTGCTCAATGAGATGCCGCGCATGCCCGCGGCGCCCCGCGGCGGCCTGCGCGGCGGCCTCAAGGGCGGCATGCGCTCTAGTGACGGGGGAGCCCGCCGCAGCATGGCGGGCATGCCGTCGTCTACGACGACGCCGTCGCCGCTGTCCGTAATGCATGGCAGCATGGGCGTGGCGGCGGCGGCGGGAGCCAGCGGTCACACGGTTAGGATGCGGGGGCTAATGGAGATGAGGGGCAGCGGAGGAGAGGGCGAGGGGCGGCATGGGGGTGCGGAAGATAGGGTGCTGAGGCTGCGGGGTGCGGTTGTGGAGCATGTGGAGGAACAGCAACCGTCCGAGGCGGGCGATGGTGGTGATGCTAAAGCAGGTACTGCGGGCGGAATCCGCGCGCGTATCCTGGCACGGCGTGATAGCATGGCTGTGGCGGCTGCGAATGCTTCTAGCACAAGCGGCGAGGTGAAGCCGGGCATGGCAGCGGTTGGGGTTGCGGCACCGCCCTCGAGCGCTTCGGGCGAGGCGGCTGGGGGGGACAGCAGCGAAGGCCTGGGCGATGGCGGCGAGGGCTCGGGGACTGGCAGCGGGCAGCAGCAACAACAGCAGCGGCGACCTCGCGTCAGGTCAGGCGGCATGTCTGGCCGCAACAGCCGGCACAGCAATGGCCTTAACGGTACGACGGCAGCAGCTGCAGCGGAGGCTGCGAATGGTGGGAACGGGACAATGGGCATGGAGCCGGCGGCGGGGACGGAGGGCGGCCTGGAAGGGCCTGAGGATGATGAGGACGTGTCACCTTTCGTGCCAGCGGTATCCGCTGCGGCGGCTGCCAGCCGTTCCGCTCGCCGGAGCTTGCTGTTCGCAGCCGACGGGGACGGCGGTGAGGGCAGCGAGCAGGCGACTTCGGAGGCTGGGGCTGCGGCAATGAGGCTTGATCAGGCAACTGGTGCTGCTCCTGAGGGTGCAACGGACGAGCAACAGCCTGTTCGGGAGTCCTCGGATGCTAGCGGTACGAAACAGGATCTCGGTCCTTCGTCCTCAACAACAGCGGTAGCGGCGTCGCGACCCGAGTCCGCGCACAGCACGGGCATCGCTAAGGCCGAGGCCTCGCTGCTGCCGGCAACCAGCATCACTGACCTTGCGAGCGACCCAAGCAGTGCCTACAGCGCGTACAGTGCGCGGGCGGGAACTGGGAGCGGCTCGGAGGGGTTTCCGGAGCCGCACACACCCATGCTGGGGTTCAAGATGGCTGGGTTTGGAGGTAAGGCTAGGATGCTGCTAAAGGGTTTGAGGGAAGGGTATTGAACACCGGGATTGACTTTGAATGGCATGTGTCGTTCTACTCATTAATGCAGCTTGGGGAGCGGTGCCTGACAAAAACAATGCCTGTTCGGGTATGTACGGGCGTATGTCACGTTCCCCGCCCGCGCGCGTTTCGCAAGGCCCAGCATGCTAAGACGTCCGAACCCCTGAACACAACGCCCTGGCACGTCCCACACAGCCGTTCCCCCAGCGGTGGAGCCCTGGCGCCAAAGTCCTCGCAGCGGCGACACCTTTGCCTTCTCCCTCGGCACCGACGAATCCAAAGGGAGCCGCCACATGGAGAGCCCCGCCACACCCGTCCTGTTCAGCCTGGCTGGGGCTGCTGAAGACTCCGAAAGCAAACTTCACCACCCCTTCGCTCCTGCGATCGCTGCGGAGCACAGCAGCGGCCTGGTCTCCCTCGCCATGTCTCTTGACGGCAGCGAGCTCCCACGAGTTGATGACCTAGCGACGGATGCGGTTTCGGAGGTGGAGGGGCCTGCGGCGGTTGAGCCGCCGGCTGCGGCTGAGGCGCCACCGCCGCTGCCGCTGCCGGCGGCGGCGCCCGTCGCAGCTCCAACACCGTCGCCGATGAAAGGCCTTCGGAGCAAGATCGGCGGCGATTCAGTCTCCTCCTTGCCGCCGCCGCCGCCTTCCGGCTTGCATGCCGTACGGCACCATCATGGCTCGTCCGGCAGCCGCGTCAGCAGCCGTGGGGCCTCACCGCTGGTCAGCGGGGCCTCCACTCCGCGCTCCTCTTCAAGTGTACGACTCGCCGCGGCGGTCACCGGCTCTGAGGGCTTGCCGCCGCGACACTCACCCCTGCGTGGCGGCACCTCACCTGCCTCATCGGAGAATGGCGCCGCCGTGGGTCGTCGGGGGCTCAGCAGCAACTCGGGCAGCAGCGCGCGCACCAGCCAGAGCGCTGGGGGCTTGCCGCGACGGCCTTCGACGCCGACGTCGGAGGCACCCAGCGTGGATGACCGTACGGCAGATAGCCGAGAGTCGGCGGCGCAGCTGCTGCTGCACCACCCCGTGCTGCCGCCGTCGCCGCCATCGTCACCACCGCTGCGGCCGTCGTCGCCGTCGCAGGCCAGTGGCACGGGCACCGGTGACGGCGCCACCGCTGATGACGCAGCCAACTCTCAGCTAGAGCTGAAGCCGTTCTCGACTTCCGGTTCGGGTGCAGCGGCGGACGAGGGCGCGAGCTCTGCCGTCGCCAGCGCTGACGGAGGCGGAGTGGGATACGAGGCTGACGGCGCCGCCGCCGGCGCGCCGCCGTCCATACCGTCACGTTCACACACGCCGGACAACCGCAGCGCCGACGGCGCAGCTGAGAGCGTGGGCTCGGAGCCGTCTGTGGAGGTGGTTGGAACGCCACCCGAGACCCCGGCGACCCCCGTCCGGCCCGCCGACAACACCCCCGGAACACCCGCCACCCCAACCAACGCCGTGTTCTCCTCCGCTCCCTTTGCTGCTGCCCTAACCGAGCCCCGGCCTGCTGCCCCGCGGCAGCCCTCTAGGCTTCGTCTCAGCTCCGGGGACCACCAGGTTGCCCCCTACCACCTGTCAGCCGACACGCATGGCAGCAACACCGCCCCCGCCGCCCTCCCTCCCAGCGCCCCCGCCGCTGGCGGCTTCCCTGACAAGGGCCAACAACCCGGTATGCGCTTGCGAATGGGCCCGGGCGCCGAGGGCATCGACGGCCGCCGTTCCAACACGGGCCGTGCCGGTCCCAACTTCGGCACTCCCGGCGCCACCGTCGGCGGCGGCGCCGGCAGCGCCCTCGCACGGCGCAGCGAGCTGGGCCCTGGTGGCCACTACATCAGCCCGCTGGGAGGTGGCGGCGGCGGCGGTGGGGGTTCCGGCGCCGCGCAGCCGCTGGCCAACGCGCTGGCGGCGCAGCTGAAGGCGCACCACCACAAGGTGGCGGCGGTGTACGGCGGCCCGGTGGTGTTTTGTGAGGAGGCGCTTGCGCCGCTGCCGCCGGCGGACAAGAAGGCTGTCAGGTGGGGTGCTAGGAACGGAACCTAGCGCGACGATAGCTGCACCTGTTGACGCCCTAGTCCTGCCCCTCCTCTTAACCCCCAGCCTCCTCTCCTCCTCCTCCCTCCCTCTCCTGCTCCCGCTCCCGCCTCTCACACTGAGCCAACCAACCACCCTGCGCAGGGTGGCCGCGCACAGCGCCATCGCCACGCAGCGCTGCGAGCTCATCCTCATCCCCGCCTCGCTGCTGCGCTCGCTGGTGCCGCCGCCGCTGCTGCCCAAGCTGGAGGCGGCGGCGGTGGGCGCGCAGCGGCGGCTCATGCAGGCCAGCGGACACGTGGTGGACACAGCGCCGGTGGGAGGGGCGGGGGGGGGAGAACATGGGGCGGGGGGGAACAAGGGGTGGGGGGGGAAGCATGGGCGGGGGGAAACATGGGGAGGGGAGCATAGGGCGAGGAACATAAAGCGGGGGGAAGCTTCATGTGTGCTTGATGTATGGTGAGGTGGACGGCATGTGCCGTTGACAAGAAAAACGTATCAATTACCGGTAGTTCATTACAAGCCAGGCTTGGGAATGGTCACCGACAACTGATGAGTGCCATAGTGCACATGTTACACTCTACATGTAGTGGGTGGTTATCTGGCTGCCGATCCTCCTCCCACCGTGTCCCCCCCTCTGCGCCCCCCTCCCCTCGCCGGATTGGGACTCCATTGATGCATTTATCTATACTTTCCCCTCGCCGCCTGGCTGCCGCTCCCCTGCAGGTCGCCTGGCCCGCCGCCGCCGACCGCATCCGCATGGTGCTGGCCACCCCGCCGGGGCAGCGGCAGCCCTGGCAGGTGGAGCTGCTGGCGGCCGCCTTCAGCCACCTGCCAGCATTCGCGCGGCTGACGTGGCAGGTGGGGGAAAGAGGAAGAGGGAATACCGTAGGGGTTGTAGGGGTTGTAGGGGGGAGTGTCACACCAGCTCTTTCCTCGTGCCCGCTGTGGCCACAGAGCCTGATGGTAGTGATGGTGGTGGTGCGGTTGATGTAGGGTGAAGTGGCGTACAAGGGCACGGTATCTTCAAGGGTAGCAGAGAGTTGCCCTGGACGTGCCATGTGCCGTACCACAACTGCTGTGCGTTGTTGTACCCCACCGGTACCCTCAGGTGCGGCTCAAGGTCTTCCAAGAGCTCGAGTACCGCAGACTGGATCCTGGATCCCAATTGGATCTCGCCAAGCTGGACGTGAGCGAGGCGGGTGGTGCGCAGCCACGCCCCTCACAGCCACCCAACACGAAGGGCGAAGGAGCACTGGGGCCAGAGGCCAGCAGCGGCAGTGTCGGCACCGAGGCAACGAGAGGGGGGACTGTAACGGGTACTGGCGCGGGTGCGCCTCCAGCTGCAGAGAGTAGCAAGGGGACTGACCCAGGGGTCGGTTCCCACGCTTCGGAGCAGACGGCTGTCGGGGATGCAGGTGCAGCTGCTGCGTTGGCTGCGTATGCAGAGGCGCTGGCAGCGGAGGTGGGTGCGATGCCGGAGAGGGCGCATGACGGCGCTACTGTCACTGGTAGTAGTAGCGGCGGCAGCGTTCCCGGCAGCAGGGCTGCTTCGATGGAAGGGGAGAGTTTGGAGGGGCAGGAAGCCGCAGCGCCGCCAGAGAAGTCAGGGGAAGCGGCGACTGGTGACGAGGATGTGACAACCCCAACAGACGCAATCGCAGTCTCCGCAGGTGTCACGGATGGGAGCGAAAAGGCTCGCCAGGGCACTATTGTAGGCGACACGGAGGCCGCACAGCCGCAGGCGCCGCCGGCTGCCACCGAGGAAACCCAACCGGATGGGGATTCTAACGGCGAGGCCCTGAGCAAGGAAGCCCCGCAGGCAGAAGCGGACAGGACCGCAGGCAGCGTCCGCGGCAGCGAGGGCGGCGCGTCAAACGCTGCCAGCACCGGCGAGTGCTGCGGTACGGAACATGGCGGTGCGCTGTCGGTCACCACAACAGCGGCGACTGCTGACGGCAGCAGCACCTGCAGCGGCAGCAGGACCGTCACGGGTGCAGGCGAGTCCGATGCGGCCGATGTGTCGCGGCCACCCACGCACCGCAAGCAGTCCTGGGCTGAGCGTTTCGGCAGCCGGAGCAGCCGCCACAGGATGCCGCCGGCTGCCCAAGAAGCGGCTGCTGTCACATCCCCCGCCGCGGCCGCAGCAGCAGCTGGCACAGCCGGGACCCCAGATGGCTCAAAGGTGGCGGCAACAATGGCAGCAGCAGGAACCGTTGAAGGTACACAGCCAAATTCCGCCGGCTCTCGCAGGGATTCCGCGGCGCAGGGTAAAGCCGCCTCAGCTGACGCCGCCGATACCAGCGGCGGTGGCGGCAAGGAGGGAGCCCAAGGCTCCAAACGCTCCTCAGGCTCTGAGCCCCACACCGTTGAAGCCCTGTTCGACCCGGTGGCAGCGGAGCCGCTCATCCCCTCCCTGGCTCTGCGCCGCAACAGCACCTCCGTCACCGACCTCGACCTCGCCGGCGCCGCTGACTCCACTGCCAGCGGCACCGGCGACGCGGAGGCGGCGCCGCCGTCACGTGCATCCTCCTGGACGCCGTACGACGTCAGTGGCGACGCCGCCACCGTGGATTCGACGGCGGCCGGGGAGCGCTCGCCGGAACCCGGCGGTCACTCCTTTTGGGAGGGCGACCCGCCGGACAGCGCGGCCGGCTTCAGCATGCCGCCGCGGCTGGGGACCGCGGATACCTTCCTGTCTGAAGCGCCGTCGCATTCGCTTCGCAGCACTGGCAGCCTCGCAAGCGGCCGTTACGGCAGCCTGCGGGAGGGTGACGTGCTGCCGCATTCGTCGTCGCCCGGGGCGGAAGAGGGGGAGCTGGAGGAGGCAGCGCCGGCGGAGGCGGAGGCGGCTGCCGCCGCTGCTGAGGCGGCGGAAGCGGCGGTGGGGGTAGCGGCGGAGTCGTCACGGATGTCCTCGAGGCCGTCGGAGGTGGGCCAGGAGGCTCCGGAGCGGCTGCTGCCCCGGAAGCGCGAGGCGGTTGCGGTCAAGCTGGACGACAGGTGCGGTGTGCTGGGAGCGTGTGGCTCGCGGTGTGTGACCGCCTCCAGGGGTTGGGTTGTGGGACAGATACCGAGGTGTGATGATGTGCAACAGGCTGCCGTATTTTGGTTGAGGGGGCAGCGTCGGCATGGAGGTGTACCGGTAGAAGACAGTACCGGTAGATGGCCTTTTAGCGTTCGGGTTCTGCGTATCGTTATGCTGCTCTCCCATTACCGCACTAATCAATCCCTGCACACCCACACCTCTGACACCTCTTCCGACATCCCAGTACGTTCCTACTCGCGGCCAGTTATTTTAACACACCTCTGAGTGTTACTGATTAGGCGTTCATCTCCTCGCCCCCACATGCGCAGGGCCTACTGGTGCCTAAGCGGCGCCATATCTCTGGAGATCCAGCTGCAGCCCCCGCCGTACCCAGATGCGCCCCCAGCTGACAGCGCCACCCAACCCGCAACCCCCACCAACCAACCCGCCAGCCCCCACCACCGCCATGCACCCCCCTCTCCCGAGCACTCCGACATCTCGGGTTTCACCGCCACCACCACCTCCAAGGCCAGCCCCTCACACTCGCCATCCCCGCCGCCACACCAGCAGCACCAGCACCCGCAGCCCTCCTCTCCCTCTCCCTCGCTTCCGCCGCCGCCGCCATCGCCGCCGTCGCTGCAGCAGCTGCAGCTAGCACACCCAGGCGACGCCTTCAGCGGCGGCGCACTTGCCGACGCCACCACCGCCGCCTTCAGTGCGGCGGCGGCGGCAGCCGCCGCCGCCGCAGCTCAGGCCCGACCGTCTTCACCAACCCTAAGCACCGATCCCCGCACCGTCTCCTTCACCTCCGTCGCACCTTCCCCCGGCGCCTCCGCCGCCGCCGCCAGCGGCTTCACCTCCGACGGCGCATCCACCATGACCGCCGCCGCCGGCAGCGCCGCCGGCAGTTCGCCTGCCTCGGAGGCGCACCAGCACTTCCTGCAGGGCCTGCCGTTGGGCAGCAACCTCATTCGGGCGAGGGTGGTGGGTGAGGCGCCGGCGGAGGTGCTGTGCATGAGCAAGCCCATGTTTGAGCTGATGGCGAGCGGTGTGGGGCGCAGCGTGCCGCCCTCGGCGCTGCCGGTGCTGGCGCGGCATGTGGATTGGCTGATTGGGGTGGACCTGCAGGCCATGGCGAATGACCTGGCGGGGCGCTACAGGCTGGAGGAGCACAAGCAGGTGAGAGGGGTGGACGCGCGTGACTGGGGTTGGTTGGCTGGTGCTGTGACATGCAGCTGCCTTGTCTTTGCGATTACAGGTACACGCCTGCATCCAGGATGGCATGCTGTTGCCGCTTGCTCCCGCGCTGCCTCCTCGGCCTCCTGACGCTGTGGGCTTCGTCCTGTCTCACCACCCGCCCCTCCCCTGCCCTCCCCCACGCTACAGGGCACTGAGCTGCTGCGGGCGGGCGAGGCGGCGCCGGTGGTGTTCCTGGTGGCGGCAGGCGAGTGCCTCATGCGGGGCCCGGTGGTGGGGCTGCGCGACCCCGCCAGTGTGGCAGGTGAGAGAAGCCGGAAGCCGGGAGGGGAAAACGGGTTGGAATGGTACAGCATGTGGGGAGGTACGGCACTGTGTTACGGCCGTACGTGATTGGAAACTGGGGAGGTAAGGGACATACCGCAGAGCATGTTGTATATACCTTTGCGTTGGAATCTTACCGCCATGGTGTACATTGTACGATACTGAAAATCAGTCCGCGTTGCCCCCGTGTGACCCATGGGTCAGATGGACTGGACCTTGCAACCCTTCGTGAGGGCGCCACGTGTGGGGAGCTCAGTCTGCTGGCAGCACGCCCGCTGTGGTGAGTCAGGGTGTGGCGTGGGAACAGCATGAGCCGTATGTGAGGACATGAGACGCTTACGCTGCCTGGTCCCGGTCCTAAAAGTCAGAGTGGGGAACCTGGGGAACCCAGTAGCGACCGTCCCCACTCCCCATGCATCCTAGCCGCTCCCTAGCCGGCCTTGCATGACACTTGGAGAGCGTCTCTAACGGTTGCTGTCTCGCTCGCCCGCGCCCGCAGGTACACGCTGGTGGTCTCCTCCCCCAGCGCCAAGGTCATCTCCATCGACCTGGCGGCGCTGCGCACCTGGTTGCTGACGTCACCGCTGGGGCAGGCGGCGGCGGCGGAGGTGGTGGCGGCGGTGGCGGAGGTGGACATTGCGTTGTACGGCAGGGCCGTCAAGCAGATTGCAGCGATGGTGGGTTGCGCGGGGGGGGCGTGGTGGAGGTATGAGGGTATGAGGTTGGGTGGGCGGATGGGCGGGTGTGTGGTGTGCGGAGGGAAGGAAGTGGAGGCGGCGGGGAAGGGAGGTCGGAGCTGGATGATGGAGGAATTAGATGGGGTTGAGGTCGTTTTGGTTGGGAGCTGCTAGCAGGAGGTGGTGCTGCTTCCTGAGCCATGTCCTTTCTGAGCTGAGTCTTCCCTCATGTTGTCATCCCTCCTGCCATATCCCCCAAAAACGAACCTACGGGTCTCGAAACCCTTTTGCCTCCCCCGCTTACCTTCAACCCTACACCCTTGACCCTACCCCCGCAGGTGATGTGCGGGAAGCTGGACCTGGCGCTGTTCACTCCGCCCATGAAGTCCATTATTCGGCGCATCATGGAGGTAAGAGCAGCGACTCAACTAGGGCCTACGCCTCACCTTCTACGTAATTGCTTACTGATATCCATTGCTTTACAACGGTGCTAGAGGAACCGAATTTCCTTATGCACCATCCAAATCATGCGTTTCCTGTCGCCATCTGGCCATCCTCCTTGTGCTTCCCTTCTCGCGCTCCTCGCAGGACGATGCCGCCGAGATTGCAGCCACGCTGCAGCACCAAAAGGAGCATGCAGAGGAAAAGGAAAAAGAAAAAGAGCGGGAGAAGGAGCGCGAGCGGAAGGTTCGCTTGGGAGGCGGCAGCGGCAGCGGCGGTGGCGCCAGTGGCGGCGCCAGCGGTGGACCCATGGGTCTCTCGGCGCTGGCGGGGAGTACGGCGGTCAACCGACCTCGATCCATTGTGATGGAGGGATGGAGCCAGGTGGAGGCCATTGCGGCGTCAGTAGCTCGGCCGTACGACCCCGAGGCCCAATCCTGGGAGCTAATAGCGCAGGTGCGACATGTGCACGAGTTTTTGAAGGCCTCTACCTATTGTATTGTATATTTGTACGGCAGATTAGTAAGCAAACGTGGTCAGTTCTGGATGGGTTTGGTTCCCGTATGCACCCATGCATGCATTATGGCGCTCCCTTCCCTCTTTCCTATCCCCTCACCACCCCTTTGTTACCAATCCTAGCGGTTCCCCCTTTCCCCCTCCAGGCCCAGTACGTCGCCTCCCGGCGGCAGCAGCAGCGCTACCTGGACTCCCTCTTCAGCCGCTCCGAACTCGCGACCGAGGAAGACCCGGCGGGTCACGCCAGCGGCGGCCAGCGCATCGCCATGCCGGCGCCGGGACTGGTGGCGGCGGCGCTAGCGGAGCCGACGGCTGTACGGAACCCCAGAATGTACGACATTCGGATTGTGCCGAAGGACCTTAGAGGCCGCTACGTGGAGGCTGCCAGGCTGGGCTGGGATACCTCCTTCCTGCCCTCGCATGAGCTGTCAGCCATGATGGACGCTGAGGTGCATGTCAAGCACGCGGCGCTGGGGCTTTTGACGCAGCAGCAGCAGCAGCAGGAAGGGCAGCTGGGGCGGTCGCGACAGCTGCAGCAGCAGCAACAGGACCAGTTACAGAGGCTGCAGTCAGAGCAGCAGCGGGCCATGCACACAGAGCTCTCGCGGTCGTTTCCACAGTCCTCGTCGCAGCAGCAGCGGATGTTGTCGGGAGAAATCTCCTTCTCCACGGCTTTGGCCAGCACCAGCAGCAACGCCAGCGGCGGTAGCACCGGAGGCAAAGCCGTTCTAGGCGCCTCTAATTGCCTGCTTCCTCGACGTGCCGGCGCCGCTGCCCCCGCCCCCGCTCCCGAACATAACAGTACGGCACATCCCCGTACAACAGAGCACCACCACCACCACCAGCATCATCACCTTCATGCAGCACACGGCACGGCATCATCCCCAGCTGCTCCCGTCGCCGCGCGGCTGAACGCGTTGGATCCCCATGCCCGCCTGCAGGGGCCCTCTGCCCCCAACAGCCCCTCCTCCTCCTCCTCCCTCGTACCCGGCGCCGCTGGTACAACCCCGCCCAAGTCCGCCAGATCACGCCTGCACATCACCACTGCCTCCTCCGGCATGGCTTCCGTGGTTTCTCTGAGTCCTGAGCACGGCATGGAAGCGCCTTGGGACGCTCAGGGACGCCTGAGGGTGGGCAAGCCCTGGGATAACCCTGGAGCCGACGGTCATGGCGGCGGCGGCGGCGGCGACGGCGGCGACGTTGTTCTGATGACGCCGAGTCGCCTCCGTCGGGAGCTCGGCGCCGCTTCCGGTTGGTCGCTCGCGCAGCTGGAAGATTTGCGGCGGAAGAGCGCCATCTTACTGAGTGGGCCGCCGTCGTCAGGATCCACAGCAGCCCTGGATCCAGAATTTCAAGCCCAGATGGATGATCTGAGGAACATGTACGGCAGTACAGCCGGCAGTGATGGTTTCAGCGGGTTTGCTGTTGGCGGCGGCGGCGGCGGCGGGCTGGATGAGGGTGGAGGCGGTGGTGGCGCTGCTGCTGCTGGTGTTGTGGCGTCGGTGGGATCACCGCATGCTCCGCACTACCGGTCTGGCAGCTCCCATCAGCTGGAAATGGTGGCGGGTGCGGGTGCTGGTCACAAGGCCGGCAGCAGCGGCACGGGTAGCCCTTCAAGACTGCGAGCGGTGTCGTTGGCCACGCAGCCGCCCGTCCCGAGCCCCCTGGGCTGCCCTCCCAACAGCGCCAACTCCAGTAACGGTAGCAACCCTAACTCGAACCCTAGCTCCCTGCGGCGCGGGAGGAACAGGGCGGCAGGGACCGGCGCCACGCCTCCTAGCAGCGGCACACCTCCCATGTTGTCCGTAATAGAGGAGGAGGATGTGCACAACCTCTTCTGGACGTCCACGCATTCTCCGCACTCTGCACCGAAACCCGGCCCGCCTGCCGTTGCGGCGGTGACGGGAACGCCGGGAAGCATGGCGGCGGCGGCTGGCGGCGGCGGCGGCGGCGTCGGATCGACGCTACCGCTCAAGCCCCTGCCGCCGCTGCCGCCGCCACACGACCAGCTACGGCTCATGAAGCACCCTCCCGTCGCAACGCCGCCAGCTGCAGCGCCGACGCCAGCATGGGCGACCGCGGTTGCCGTACCAGGCACTGCTGACGTCATCGCCGCGGCACCTCCGGCGGCGCCAGCACCCGCAACCTCAGCCTCGACTACCTCTGCCACTGCTACTACCGGCAAGGCCGCCACAGCCAGTGTCGTGGACGGCCCCACTCCCTCGCAGTCCGCACAAGGCACCATTGCGGCGAGGAGGAGCCGGATACAAGCCCGCACGGCGGCGCCGCCGGCGCCTGAACCCGTGGAATCGCCGGATCGTTCGTTCTGGGTCCGCGACCGGCTACACGACCCTCAGGTGCGCTCCTCGGAAGCGGACATGAGAAGTCGGGATATAGTCGATGACTGGAAGTATGCATATGTACTGTAACATGACTACCGGTAGCGGTATCTGAAGTACCCGTTCACCCCTCAAGTGGCAAGGCAGTCCCAACACACACCCCTGCCCTCATCCTTTCAACTCCACAGGGCCTCGCCCAGAGCGTCATCTCTGACGCTGCTGCCCGCGCCGTCAGTGCCGCCGTCACCCGGCCTCAGGAGCCCCCACTCACCGCCGCCACCACCACCGCAACCCTAACAGCCACAACCTCCACAATCTCCTCCGTCAGCCCTGCGGATGCCTCCGCCGGCACTGCCGTCACCGTACCTGCCACGCCAGCCACCGCCGCCGCCGCCTCAGCCCGCGCCGGATCCGCCAGTGCAAACGTGCTCATGGCTGCGGGCGGCCGAACCGGAATCCCAACCATTGGTCGGACGAGGAAGCTGCAGCCGCTGAAGCGCAACGGCGCGGGCGCTGCCGTTAGAGCCCCCGGCGACGGCGGTGCAGCGAGTGAGGGTGTTGCGGTGGCGGCGGGGCAGGCAGGAGGTGCTGGGGCCTTGCTGGCGGGTACGACAGCAGCAGCTGCCGGGAACCCTGCGGCGGCGTTGGCGGATGCGGATATGCTGTTTGTCACCCTGCAGGTGAGGGAATGACCCATGGGACTGTGGGGCTGTGGGCTGGGGTTTGCCCCGTGTGGCCCTATCCGCGTGGCCACGGAAAGCCACCACCCCTGCATGGTTTACCTTGCGTGTCCCACGCTAGTTGGCCATTCTTTCCCCTCCATCGATGCGTCCACCATGCAAACACATTTTTACCGGTACCTGTTAAGTAAGAATAATAACTGCTTATGGCATCCCCTGTTCGCGTCTTCCCTTGATGCAGCTGCCGCCGGCTCCCAAGCTTCTACCGGAGTTCCCCTCCCCTGCCGCCGCGAGAGAGGCGGCGGAGGCGGCAGCGGCCGCGGAACAGGCGGCGCGGGAGGCCCGTTTAGCAGCCGCCGTAGCGCATCCCAGCGCTCGGCCGTTGTTCGTACGACCTGATCTCAAGTACGTTCCGCAGTATCTACGGCAGCGGCAACGGTCGCCCGTACTGCCGCCGCCTGTACGGCATCAGTTGGAGGATGCCGAATCTGACAGTTGGGTGGTTCCGTCGTACAGCAGCGAGTATGGATTCAAGGATGGATTCTATGACGAGAACAGCCAGGTCATCTACTTTGACTAGTCGCGAATCGAATGTGCGTGATGACTGAGGCGTTCAAAGGCTTGCTATATTCATGCTTGATTCAAAAGGCTTCCTTGGAAAAGGACAGGATAGGAAAGTTGGAAAGCCTGGTGGCAGGTGGTTTTGTGACGAACTGCCTGTCACCGCTTACTTGTTTGGCACGGTGATGGTCAGATGGCTTATGTTGGCAACAGTAACTGATCATACATGTCGTACAATAAGCTCGTACTGCTGCTGCTCGGCACTGGGATGTACGACATCTTGATGCCATGTCGCCGTACAGGTGCCCCTTACTGATTCATGAGGCAGTGCAAGATGGATCACCTGTCGGCCCATGCAATGTCGTGGGCGTTAGTGTTGTCGCGGTGGTCTCCTTCCTTCATTCAATGTATATCCGCTGCTGCTGCTGCTGCTTTTGTGAAGCTTCGTGTGGCTAGGCATGGCGCATTGGATAGATTGCGGTATGCTCTGTAGTTGCCGCCGCATGTGTGCTTCCATCTGCCGCATGCTATTGTGTTGGCTTGTAGTTGAGGACATGCTCGGGGGCGACCGGCAAAATGACAATAATTAACGGGGACGTAGAGATGCCGGTGCAGCGCTGCCTTAGCGAGGTCATGCGGGTTACCGGTAATTCGGTTATAGGCACGGCGCACCTTGTGTGATCGGAGGTCGCAGCTGTCTTTTTGAACCTAGACTTCGTTTAGCCAATAGTAGGTCATGTTCGTTGCCCTGCGAGGCAAACGTCCGCGCAATCGACCCATGGGTCAATTTCCCTTTCGGCAGACGACCGGGACCAACTGAGAGTTGAGAGTAAAACAACAGGTCAATGTGGTTCGATACTTCTTGTTTAAAATATCAACAACATTGTAAGGACATTGTAAGGACATTGCGCTCTGTTACGGTCCACTCGGCAGCTGTTAGTTGGAAGGGAACTGCCGTGATCAAAGAAAGACCTCTAAACAGCACATCGCGACAGCAGGCACGGATTTAGCTTGAACACCCCTTCTTATTTCCCTCCCTTCCGTAACTTGTGTTGTAACGTCAATCGTGCATATAAACCTCCTCCTTGAACAATACGCAGTCAAAGTTCAAGTAGCTATGGACAGCACGAACAAGCGTCAACACCGTAACTAGAACACATGGCCGAAACGACGGCAGAAGCGCGCTGTGATCGCGGTCGCAGAGGCGCGACTCCTACGCTGCTAATTCTTCGCAGCGACGTCCCCAGGCGCTTCCTCTGCCACCGCTCCTGGGCAATTCTCCAGGATCCGGCACTAGACCCTGACGACCCGCTAGGTCGCTTGGCGGAGAGCAGCTTCTTGGAAGCGCAAGGGCGCGTGCGAAGCGGGACGAGGCCGGCCCGCGTTGCTGGTGCGTTTTGCGATGATTGAAAGCTTTGCCGCAGTTTGCCCATTTTGGTCATAAATCTCATAATACCTGGAGAGCCTAAGATAGCCATCATTAGGGTTCCACCCTTAACAATTACAAGCGGCTCCGATTTTCCACCCTTTGTTGCCGTTTACGTCTTGTCTTCTTCCCGGCTTGTATCTTCGCAGGCGCACCTCCTGCACCGAGCCGTTTCGCTGTTGACTTGCTGGCGTGGCTCTCCAAGAATGCAAGCTTCGAGGAAGCTCAGGCGCGCTCCATAAAGCGGGAGCGCGGCGATGAGGATATCGAGGAGCAACGAGCGCGACCACCTCTTCCGTCCGATTCCTCGCCTTCCATATTCCACCGGCACTTCCCAACCTGCTCAAGCCAAGAGGCGGAACAGCAGCTTTCATCGCTGCTGGTCACCTCCATGGAAATCCCCCGGCAGTTCATCTGCCCGCTCAGCCGCAGGATCATGCGGGAGCCGGTGAGGGACCGGCGGGATCCGGATCTGCCGTACGATCGGAGCGCCATTGAGGAACACATGGCTGCGTACGGCTGCAACCCAAGAACGGGTGAGTACGGGCTGTGCAGGGGGTTCTCGGGGGGGCCCTGTATTCGGGTTGCCGCTCTCACCTGCTCCCATCCGCATTCCAAACGAGAGGCAATGTTTTTCCTGTACGGCACAGACCTCATCTCATGGGCTTCTGAAAGAACGTGGCGTGCCCCTCTTGCAGGCCAGCCGCTGCACCCCGGTCACCTGCAGCATGCATCCTTCGAGAAAGACACCGTTCGAGACTGGGTGGCGGGCCACACCACCCGACTGCAGCAGCCACCGCCACCGCAACCGGAAGCGGCAACACGCGCCGCTGCGGCTGAGGCTGCGACCAGCGCAGCAGCAGCAGCAGCTGCGCTTGGAAGCGGGGACAACGAGCATCCCATTATCGTTTTTGACGACAGCAGCGATGATGATAATGTTAGGGACGTTGTTCATGCTGCCGCTTGTGCGGCGAACTATGGAAGTACGGCAGCTGCGGAAGCCGCTGGGGCAAACGGTAGTACGGCAGCTGCATGGGGCCCTTCCTCTCCGCCGCCTGATGAGCTCCGTGCGGCGGCTGGCGCATACCCGCTAATGGCAACGAGTCAAGAGCAGGAACTGCCGCAGCCGCAACAGCAGCAAGTGGTTGCGTCTCAGCCAAAAAGGCTACCGTCGCATTTGAAGGTGCGTCGGCCTCAGCCGCTGCAGCCGCCGTTTCCGTCTGTTCATGCCCAAGTGCAAGCAGCAGCGCGGCAAGCTCAAAGCATGGAGCCCGCCGGTGCTACCTGCGCGCTGCTGCAGCCTGATAGGAGTCCCCCCGTACAGCCCCAATCCCAGAACCCTCCTGCAGGTTTGCAGCGGCAGCATCAGCAGCAACAGCATCAGCATCAGCAGCAGCAACAGCAGCAGCAGCAGGAGGCAAGTCGCAGGCCGGTAGGCGGAGGCCAGCACACTGTACCTCTGCCCGGCTGCGCTTATGACCAAGCTGCCGCTGGGCAGGAGGCGGCAGCAGCAGGTCCCTTGCCACCCCTGGCCCCGCAACTGCCGCCGCCGCCCCCGCCACCGCCACAACTACAGCAGGAGCAGCAGCAACAGTCAGCCGCACCGCCCCAACCCCAGCCAGCGCCCACCTCACCGCCACCACCACCGCAAGCACTGCTGAACTGGTTGCAGCTGCTGCAGCCGCAACAGCCAGAGGGGGTGTTGCCATTGCCGCCGCCGCAGCAGCAGCCGGACACATCGTGGCCGCAGTCATTTCAGTCAAGCGCGCAACACCAGGGGAGCCAGCAGAATCCGGAGGCACTGCCCGCAGTCCTAGATATGCTGCGGGTTGCAGTACAAATTTGGCCGCCGCCCCCGGCTGGCGTAGATGCCCTGCTGTCGCCCCTGCTGCTTCTACCGGCGACCCATGGGTCATCTGGGTCGCTGCCCGCGTCTGTCACTGGTGGGAGTGCTGGTGCGGCTGGTGGTGTGGGCGCCGCTGCTGCCACTGGATGCTACAATGGTGTTCCGCCGGGTCCCAGACGAATCCGTCAGAGTCGGGTGAGGATTGAATTAGGGGCGTACGATACCGGCAGGGTAGCGGTTGTTCGTTTCCAACAGCCATGCATGCTGACCAAGCAAGGTGCCAAGCTATGAATCACAATCATGCTTTCCTGTATGACGGTAGTTTAACATGGAAGAACCCCGTGCACACTCCTCAATCTTTGTGCTGTTGTACAGCGAGCCCCACGTTGCAATCGGCGGTACATACGTACCTTGCAGAGGGGCGGTGCTGCTACCGGTATCTGCGCGGAAGGCAGGTTCTCGATTGGCAAACGAGAGGCCACCGAGCTCCTGGGCTGGCCGGAACATGTTGCTGACGTACAAGCCCTGCAAGTCCTGGTAGGTACCCTGCCGGATGGGCCATTAGACAAGCATGTACCCGGCCACCTGAAGTAAGCTAGTAATGGCTATTAATGGACGTAGCAATCGCACGCATACATGCGGGGGCTCCGAAACCAACATGGCTGCATCCTGATTCCAGCCTTCTTGCACCCGCCGCCCACATATACCTACTGTGCGGATCAGGCGGTCCGGGACGGCGTGCTGCTAGAAGGGGAACACGAGGCGACCTTCAGGGCGTACAAGTACGATGGCGTCTGTACTCAGGTAATAGTCCTGAGCGCCAGCCTGGGTGCTGTTGCCAGGGGCACCCACTTCCTGGGCTGGAACCGAGCTGACAACGGCAAGTTGGTCGCCTACTTCCGTACACCGGCTGCAGCGGCGCAGCAGTCGGCTGCGGGGGGCGCAATGCTGTATGTGTTGCAGGTACGTGTCTTCACTATCGGGCCATGCCCCATGCGTGACCCATGGGACACGGGGACTCCCGTGGCTCGTCCAAGGCTCATTCAAGATCCAACCGACAGGGTTGGTCCTTGCAGGCTGCCACCCTGCACACCCATCCACACTACGCGACATGCAAATGCGGCCAAGCGGGCCCTGTAATGGGGCTGGCGTTACAGGGTCCCGGCACCCTGTCGTACTTGGGTACGACAGTTCCCTCACAACGATATTAGTGTGGAACGTTGCCACGTCATGCTGCCATACTCGCTGCCGCCGACACATTTTGCCCTCCTGCCATCCCACAGGGGGCGGCGCTGAACCCTGCTGCTCCAGGCGCTGCTGGAGCGGCTGGCAACTCGCCAGCAGCGGCAGCAGTACCCGGTACGGCACTGATGCCTGCGTGTACGGCAGCCGCACCTGCCAACACGTCAGCAGCACTTGGTACGGCATCACCTGGTACGGCAGTGCAACCCTGCACACCGGCCTTATCGTGGCTTGGCAATAGCACTGCTGCTGCTGCTGCAACGGCCCGTGCTGGCCCCTCACCGGTTGCGGCTGCTCCTGCTGCTGGTGCCGTCACACCGAGCAGCACTCGACCGCCAGCAGCACTTGCAGCAGCGAGCTCTCAGAAGGAGGAAGTGCAAGCGGGGGCGGCAACAGCAGCAGCGACGGCTGCGGTTCCTGCTTCTGATGCTGCTACACTGATGGAGGGCGGCACGCAGCCTGGCAGTGCTGCGGGACAGCAGCAGAAGCAGCAGCACCTCAGCGAGTCCGGCACACAACCCCTCCAGCAGGAACAGCAGCCGTCACCGCCGCCACAGGCACAACAGCCCGCAGTTGCCACGTCGTCTCCACCGCATCTCCCCCGCCGTCAGCAGTGGCAGCCACCGCAGCAGCAGCAGCTGCACGGGGGCATTCTGCGGCGCGGGCTGAAGTGCCAGCAGCCGGGCCCTGCTGCTGCTGCTTCTGCTGGTGCCGTGAGGAGCCCCCAAAGGGCCAAGCTTGGTGTGTGTCCGCCCGGCACCGTCGCTGCTGCGGCGGCTCCTGCTCATGGGACTGGTGACGCAGCTGCTGCTGCAGCGCTGAGGGCGGCAGCAGGTGCTCTTCGTGCCAGCGCAGCAGCTGGAGGTACGACAGCCATGGAGGCGGCAGCAGCAGCGGCTGACGTAATGACCGGGACCAACAGCGGCATGGGCGCTGCTGCCGGGATTAACGCTGCCAGTGTCGGCCATGCTGGCCTAGCCCTGTTCAGAAATGACGGCGGCGCTACCCTGGAGTCAGCACCAGCGGTAAGAAGATTCAAGGTTTGTGGGAAGATGCATGTTGCTTGTGGGATGTCCTGGTATTGCTGCCCGGCGTACTTGCGTGGTGGTTATGACCCAGGATGCGGCTACTCATGCCCATCGTGCATGTTATAGCCTAGTTACGTTCTTGCGTGCGGATGAAGAAACGAAATCGACTGGTGCCTCCCTGAACACACGTACACCCGTTGGCTTTGGGATCGGGGTGGCTGGAGTGGTAAAGGAATCGGGTGATGAGTATGACCCATGGGTCATCTGTTCCAGCACGGTGCTATGCGCGCTGATGTCCCCACAGGTGCTGGCGGCGCAGGGCGAGCCACA